GACACAGCGGACGCATCTGAATGCAACGCGTATACGTGCAAGCGCGCCCACGGCGAGCACAACGTCGCCGAGCCGCGCTGTTGAATTCTCAAGACGGAAATTTAACTTTCAAATGCATCGCGAGTCGAAACCGAGATCAGCGCTGCACCGACGCCGCTTTTTCGAGAGCGCATAATTTCCGCATGCAATGCGAATTTCCGCGATATCGCCGACCGATACACACCGCACGATTTCCTTGAACTGCCTTCCAAATAAAAGATCATACTTCTTACATTGTGGAAAGTACTTTTTTTACAACTTTTAAATCATTTTTTTGAACATATTATTTAAATCCTAAAGGATTATTTAAATTTTTAAATAATAAATGAATTATTGACCATTTAAAAATATTCAAAAGTCTACATAACACTGAACGAATTTTGTTCGCTTTGCAAAAATTCAAAAAACTGTACATATTTAATATTCTGATAAATATATGCAATTTTTAGTAAACATATTTATTCATTTCTAACCAAGTAAAAACAAATTTTTTCATGAATCAGATTTAAAAATACACGAACGTACATGAACATACCGCGAAAATAACAAAAGCGAGAAAATATAACATATACAAAACCTTTCGTTCGATTTAAATTCTTGTGGCAGAAGGATTTCGCGAATAAAAAAGATATATACGGCCGGCCTTCGATTTCTTGTGCTATTGGTGCACACTGGAAGATTCGGAGCCTACAAAGAACAGACGAAAGACAATGCCAACTCGCAAAGAGACAAAGCCTCCAACTGGCAGTCGGCCACGAAGATGATATCACATGCTTTACGATCCTGCGGAGGATACTTTATGCCCCATTCCGGTCGCAAGAGGTTCGACGTATGCGCGTTTATCTCGCTGGTTCAGTCATACAAAAATATGCAGATGTCATCCCGCTAAGATATCTTTTGTTGACCTTCTCTTGCATCTTTCTTTCGCGTCGATTTCCGAGAAGCAACGCAAATCGTAATCTAAATCTATTTTATATGTAATTGTTTCATAACATGATAATAATATTGTATAGTCCGAATATTTAAATACAAAGTCGACGAAATTACTGTGCGGTTTATCTAATTGCGTATTTAAATAGCTGAATAGTTTTTATTTGCGTGTAAATTTATTTATCCGCGTGCAGCAATTTAATTATACTCCTTTATATATTATCATCTTATATTCGCCTACGTGATATTCACAATCAATCATACTACTAATCTACTATTCTATCATCATACTATTTTATCATCATATTAAGAGCCTCTCTCTTTCTCTCTCTCTCTTCCTCCTTTTCTCTTTTTTTCTCCCTTATTTCAATTGATATCATGTATAGAACATTATGTAAAAAAGGAAGATGTACGTACAATTATTCTTCTTAAAACATTGAATCAATCGATGAATCAATTTAGAATCAATCATAGCGTACGCAAATATATTGGACGATTGGTCCTACAAAAATTCCTAGTTATATTCCTACATGAGGCTCTCTCTCTATTAATAAAAATATAATAGTTTATTTATACTTATCATATAACTTGATTTTCTATTCATATGTGGCACTACGATTTTTGCTATAAGTTACAAACATTATTCTTATATCAAAGAACGAACATTCATCTCTGCGATATGCAAATAAAAAAATAAGCTCCACGCGTCGCATGAACATCCTATAGAAATCGTTGTGTGAATGAAAGTATTTCTCCTCCCCCAACCCCCATCATTGTCTCATTGATCAACGAGTCAAAGAATAACAGGATAGATTCCTTCACGAATCTTATTCCCACCGTACGTACGACTGACAATGAACAACGGCAACCTCGAAAGGACGTACGACATATTGCCAGTCTGTCTAGAATGTATGACAGTCACGTAACTCATTTCCTACAAGATAACGTCATCGTGGAATTTCATTATTGAAGTAACGATCGAGGGATCGTTCGGCAGAGAATTTTTCGAGTCATCAGCGGCAAGAATCAACCGCTAACTCGTCCCGAATATAAACACGATTTATGTTACTTTGCAATGGAATAACAAATAAATAAAATTAACTTTCTATTAAAAAATTAAGATAAGTTTTGGAAAAATCATTTTTCTTTCAAAATGTGTAGAATAAAAGTTTTTCTTTAAATTCATTAAGAACATACAATAAATAGCATTGAATAGAACGAACAGAATGACTGAGTCTTTTTATACGCGTCAAAATCGCGATAGCTCTCGAGACGTCTTAGAGTTTGCTCTCTCGTTTGGGTAAACCTGTCAGACGTGTAGCATCGCGGAGGCAAATGCTTAGCTCATGATTAGTTCAAATTTACAGCTGAGCGGCAACTGTAGCAGCATTGGATCTGCCTTTCGAAACAACCTACCACGCCCATGCTCTTGGAATGGCACCAAGTAGACGTGTGTGTCTTTTAACTCTAATTACCACCTCGACATCTGCTCTTACGACGTTAGCTCCATTAATTTCCATCCTTGGACAGATGCGTTTGTCCTTCCGTCCACGCCGAACGATAAATCATAGCCAATGAAAATATTTTTCAATAATCTACATTTTAACTTTCTCCCCTTCCATTGTATTATTGTTCACACACCCTTTTTTCCTTTTTATTTTTCAAAAATCTCTTAGTAAAAAAATTATTTTGCCTCGTAAAAACTACACGCATAAGATAGTTACATTTTTTGCCAGAGTCTATACTTTTTATATCCCGAAAAAAAGTGACATAAAAGATAAAGTTATAGGTTCGTTACGAATCAACAAAGAATCGAGGTGGCAAACATCCCAACCCGTCAGTGCAGCGTCAATTTTTGTTCTACAGACAGCAAACATTTTTGTCAGATCAAAGAAGTGGCCCCTTGAATGGATCCGCTTAACGAGCGATCGAAACCGCTCTTCCGCTCTCGAATACGGCGAAAAGAAGACTCTCAAACAACAATAGGTCCTCATCGTTCTTTCTTATGATTCGATATACGTTTGACGGACATGAAGATGGCCAGTCTTTCTTCGATTTCGAGCGTCTGCATAGTGAAGGCTTTTTTATTAAGTATCAATGAGATATCACCTGCTTGAGATATCAATCCCGAAACACCGATGCTATTCGCGCAATCAAGTATCTACAATACATGATACCTATCATATCTATGTCACGAATAGCAAAATAAGCACGATATAGAATATACGCTTTCTCTGTCGATCTACCCACTAATCTAATATCAGTGATTTTATTTTGAACATCTAAAGTAGCGTAAAATAAATGCACATAAATAGCGCAAAATATATATTATGATTACATTAAATAAAAAATTTCGTTAGAAAGCGAGAATTTATTCGAGTAACGAGACAAACATCAGCAACATCGATCAGCCTTGTTTTCTCTTACGAAAAAGGAAGTCGAAATACCCGTATGTCATTCCACCGTCCCTATCCGGCGTGAATTTATTAAACAGCTCTTAATGCGGTGCGCTTAGTGTGTAACGTGAAATAAACGAATGTGGCCGGCTACTCGATACCCGTTTGTACGCCCACGCGAGCTGCTCGCTCCCCTCTCGAGCGAACGCTTCGTCGGCTTCCAATGACGAGACTCAACAAAGTGAAATATTCAAGATGGACCGTGTGAGATCGGTGCGATCCTGCAACCGCCGTCATTCTTTATCCCATAAAAGGCACGATAATACCCTGCCGGAAAATACGGAAGCCGCGACGACTAAGTAATCCGCCCACACATCCGAAAGCTTAATTCAAATCCGTTTCTTATTCTTCCGTAATATTCTAACATGAAAAACTGAGCATTGTGCTAACTTTTGCATTTTTCATCATCAACTCTATCGGTCAATTTACAAAGAAAAGAAATATATAAATTTTAAAGCTCGTATACAATAAAATTTCGATATAAAATAAAAGATAGAGATAAAAAAGATTTTTTTAAATGCGGAATCACTTTAGCAATAAAGAAAGGTCAATGTTGCTCACACATATGCAGGTCGGAAATGATAAGTCGATAGGATCTGTGCATTTAGTGAACGGGACACAATGAAGAAGCCCGCTCGTTGACATTCTGATGTTTTTGATAGCCGTACGCGTCAGGATTGCCTGTCCAAGTCCTTTTAGAGCTTGGACACTCCTGCTCGTCTGCCAGGCAACGTTATCGATCGACTCGACACCTTGGAACTACGAATCTCCCGCTTTTAGGACGCGAGTTCCTAAACCGTAACGGTGAGATTCGTTTCAAACAGTGACAATGGTGCCGGGAATCTTATGCAAGCTTATCGTGCTTTCTATCGCAGGATGGACATCTATAATTTATTTCTTGCACGCTTCGAGACTACTCCGCACTTAAGTCATTAGGAATAATTAGATTTCTAAGAAAAGCATATAAATATTATCGCGTCATACGTTCTACAAAACCAGGACAGTTTGCTTTTTATCCTCGCTACTTCGTAAGCTTTAATCATCGCGCCCCATCGTATCCTCTGTTACCGATTAAAACAATTTCTTTCTGTTTCTTCAGTTTTTGCCCTCCCTCGGATCGAGTTTATGTAGTTAGGAGGAAACGTAAAAGCGTAAAAAGAAGAACTTTGAGAGAGCGTGTCGCCGAAAGGACATAAATCCCTCGTTTACAATGCCGGTCTTGGCGGGCACACGTGTCCGCGCGAGTGAACTTTGCCGCGCGGATGAATGAAACTCTTTGACGAACGCGTTCTGCCCGGTCGGAAGGCAGACGGGGGCTTGTCTGGCCTTCCGTTCTGGGTTATCGTCGTCAGAGTGCCGGTTGTCGTCGTTGGTGTTCCCGATTTCTCACAGAACAGCCGCAATAAACAGTAGGTCCGATTATTAACGCGCTTCGCGCCGCCAAGGCACAAATTCTACCACTACCATTTCCGACATTGATCAAGTATGTGTTACACTAACCATACTTGAAGCAAAAATCAAATAAACATACAGCCTCTTCACTAAAAAATACATTTTTTATGATAAATCACTTACCGTATCGTTGCTCTGCTGTCGCCCGATGCCTTTCCTAGGCCTTCCTCCACCTCCTCCTCACGGTCCTTCGAAACACTCACACGCATTCGAAACACTCGCACGCATTGCTCGCGTGCGTACCCGAGAACCCGAAAATCGCGCGACACTTTTAAACGGCACTCCCGACGCGTATTTTGTTACATTACGGAACGATATATATTTCGTAGCATCAATTACACGCACAAAGTTCATCTGTAAAATATAAATATATTTACATTACAATGGTATCCAAAACAATAATTATATAAGTTATATGTATGTATCATTAAGTCGAGAATCGAAGAAAGGATATGTCATGCTTAGATATTTGCAACGGCAAGATTTTATGAAGAATCATATATCACTTGTACAAAAGCAAAACATTTCGCTTTTTGCTACGGAAAACGTCAAACTTCGATCGTCGCATTTGACATATCAATCGTTCTCTCTGCCTAAAAATTTTCTCGCGTTTAGTACATCATCCCGGCGCCGAAGAGTGCAACGCGGAGTTAATGAGCAATGCGCTGCCGAACGGCGCAGCATCTTTTATTCATTTCACGACAAGGAGCGAACATCGGCAATCGCTTTTGCGTCGCGCGCCTGCTGTGCGTAACGTACGCGGCTCGTGGCCATGTGTATCTCGCTATATTGCATTTCCGGTTCGTGAAATGTTATAACGCCGTGGCTGGAATCCCCGCGCCCGCTATCGCGATTTCCTGTCTGTGATCTACTGCCTCTTCTTCGCGGCGGATTATACTGCATTTCTCTCTCTCTGTCTCTCTCCCTCTCTCTTTCTCTCTGTCATTCCCTCGTATTGCACCCAGAATTTATCGCAGCCTTTTCCCAGTAACGATTCGAGATCTTCGATTGAACCATCATTGCGGAATATAAATTTGCAAAATTCCTGCGAGTGTTAATTTTTTTTTCAAAGCGATTCACATGACTGATATGCCGAAGAAGTATATGCAAACATGCACTTGCGATTATACATGGACATATGATACATAATTGAGCGATACGAGTCCGCTTAAATAAAAAATGCACGTTGCATCTTTTCTTAATGACAAACGCATATTTGCTTAATTGCAGCTTCGAAAAGAGAGCGGCAACGATACGAAAAACTGCGATGACTAGTCATGAATCGACTCGTTGTTAAGTTTTTGTTCAATACTCTCTCTCTTTTTCTGTGACCTAATTCGTTTTAACTACCCTGGTAGATTCGATTACCCGAATTATGCACGGATACTCCGATCGAGCGGAGTCCGCGACCAGATCCATTAGTAATCTCGATCTGGATCATCGATTTCTCCGCCCACCGGAACGTAATTAAGCAAAAAAAAAAGGCGATTGCGACATGCCAAAGCTGTCATCGACGAAATAAATGTAGTAAATAAATCATTAGAGAAATTAAATGTATTTTTGCATTATGATTTTCAACGTAACTGTATTTTAATCGAGGAGAGAAAAGAGACAGCTATTACTATTTCCTGGAGAGTTAAATCCTGAAGAAAATAGGAAAAAATGAATAATTGTTCTATAAATTCGAGCTAATCCTTGAGATTAACAACTAAGAATTAACGCGTATTGCGATTCACCAGAGAAAATAGAAAATATAAATAGCTACGCTACAATAATCCCAATTCGTGAAGCTACAATTATTTTATTAGCAAAATTACAAATACCTGCGTTATTATTTCAAAGATATTTATAAAATCGCCATTTGTTAGACGAGAAACATTTACTTGGAGCACGTTGCACTTCCAAGTACTTTTTTACAATGATAATCATTTCATTCACTTTCGTAGGACATTTTTGCTCGACTAATACACGGAGTCGTATATCTTGACAGTTACGACGACCTTTAACGATCAGATTAATTTTTATGGCATCGTAGTGAAATAAAAATGCGCTCAAACGCGCCGTCGCACAAACCCTTGCGAGTCATGAAACTTCGAGATGCTTTAAAGCCACCTGGCTTTTAATTTTATTATTCAGTTATACTCGGGAGGGAGAGTTGCCTATATTCAACCCGTATCTCTCAAGCCTCGGATACTACGCGATTTCGTTGCGACAGTAATCACGCTATTGCATGCAAGATTGCAAGAGGAATTAACGCTCGAGCCACATAGGTGGCTAGGTACTTGACTGCAAGCATTTCCTCGTTTTATTGACTATTGCTTTGTGCGCCTAATGCGTCCCTATTATTAAATATTTTCTATCGTTCAAACAATATTCCGCTGCATTAATTATCTTATTATTCAAAAGATTTACTCTTCAATTAAAGTCAGAAACGTCCAATAATTCGCGAAATGTGAATATTATAAATTAAATATTTTTAATTATTTAACCTCATTCAACCTCGCGGAAAACTAGTTTCAAATTCTCTAACGTCATTAGTATCAAAGAATAATCTATTTTATTCTACGTCTTTTATTGTCATTTCTCAGTTATAGCTAGAACTGCGCAGAATACGGTCTTTACGTAACAGAAAAAAATTGTCGGTCGTGAGAAAATTCACGTAATGCTGTGGGAGTTGATAAAAAAATCTTCCTTATATGTGCTATTCAAAGGCAGAGTCCAGTGAGTCGATTCTCTCGTTTAACCCTCAAACGCAGCGAACCCTTAAAGCACTATGATCTCGATCTTCTATTCTTTCCAGAAAATCCAGATTTCAGGAAATTCTATATTATATACGGAGCGGTTCGTCAGTGGCGCTTTGTTAGACACGAAGTGACACGCGGCAATCCGGACGGCGCTTTGTCGAAGCCCGAAAGAATTTTCTTCCCTTCGTTGAATCTTGAAAGAGAAGGAAGGGAAAAGTCGATTCACTTTACGGTTAACCAGTTATTTGAAAATATTGACATGCGATCAGATCTCAATCGGTCCAAATATTCGTCAACTACAAGTGTTTTTGGCAAAACAATGATCCTCCAAATAAATCTCACTAATATTATAACAAAATTCTATTGTACATTTAAATATTTATTCTTTATCTGCTTTTTAAAGTAAAACTTATTTAAAATTAGCAGAGATAAGAATTTTTGTTCATATAAATTAAGTACAAAATATTATTTAATTTTTAATTTTTGTAAACTACTAATGAGTCTCTGCTTTAAATAAGAATCATATTTCTTAATTGAATTCTAGCTCTAAGGATCGATACAAACAATATCGACGAACCGAACGTTTCTATAAGATGTCCGTTTGATTCATTTCTAACATCACTAAATTTACAGATGGGCAGATGTGGCGCAAAAAGCGTTTTTCTATCGAAAACACCAAACCGTAGAAAAATCAATTCTTTTATAGTCTTAGAATCCAAAAACCCGTTTCGCTATCGTGCTCCGTAATTCCCGCAAGGCGTAAGCCCCCAATTTTCGCACAATGGAGAGTCTTGAGAATCCTTATAAAAATTTGACATACAATAGCGTCTTTGTCCGCACTTTTACCCCATCCGTCCGATTGAAACGCACAATTTTTTTCCCGACATCTTCCGCACAACGCACCGATTCCTCGTGGAATAACTAAAAATCGGGCAATGCTTCTGAAAAGGTTAAAGCTTATTCTTCAAATATTGTGGTGCAACCATTCATCAAGACTCTTTTTACGTGAACGTTTCCGACGTATATATTTAAAAAATGTAAAAAATAATCATTTAAATATAAACTAAATATTTTTACAAGCTAAATGTAAAATAGACTATTAATTAAATTATTGCTCTCAATTAGCAATAATTATTTTGTAATTCTTCAAATCTTTAAATTTAAAATTATATATCGCAGAATGCACGATATAAAAAATTATAAAAAAAATAACATACCCTACGTCGCAAGAGATGCGATCTCGATACATCAAATAAAACCGGTAATCGCATTCTTACGATCGCTTTCGGCACTCAAATAATTAAATCAATTCAATTTGTATCGACAACTGACAACAAGGCGGTCATTAATGCAACAAATAAATGCAAACATACAAAACAGGATACAAGAATTAAAATTTATGTAGCGTTTTAAAGCTAAAAACATTCGAAATAAACTCTAAATTAAAAACACAAAAAACTAATTCCATGTCTTTAAACATATTGTTATTAATCAAGATAATGAATATTTAATGTTAAAAAAAAATGTTTGTATCGTGTAATGTTTGTTTGTATTTTGTAATGTTTTTTTATTTTATATTTTCACTAGTATCTCTTAGGCTACAAAACTAGTTTGTATATACGGTCTTTAAATGCCTTAATTCGTCTCCGTGCCTGTAGAACGTGAATCGCACGCCAGGCAAATCCTCACGATAAAAGCTCCACGTGCGTCCCCATAAACAGCCTCCCCATGCGACGAATTTGTAACATTTTATTAGCAGAACGGATAGCAACGGTGCCCGCGACCGAAGAGCAACTTTGTGCACCTTTTAATGGATCCAACTTTGTTCTCGCAAGGACCCCCGGTAGAAGTGGTTATTCATCCGGCGGAGATATATACCCGATGCCCATATGGAAGGAAGGATACATAACGAGGACACTACCTTTATGATCGGTTCGGTTACAAAGTTGACTTTTTATGTCGTGTTTCTAGTCGCGGCTCACAAAGACGGAGTGGAGAAGAGAGAGAACTACCTTTAAAAGATCGCGTCTCCGACCGTCCGTTTGATGCTCGTCGTGCGAATGCACGTTTAGAAATCTCACGACAACGATCCTCTTTACGACAAACGATCAGTCTCGGCATACGAACATATCTCGAGAAGTTTGCTCTTCAAAAGTTTCAGAGTGAATAAAATACAATTCGCAACAAATATAGAGATGAGCACATTGTGAGATGTTTAAACATTGCAACTCACAATTAATTATAACAAAAAATACAAACATGTGATTTTATATAGAGAAAGTGAGATTTTTCACCTAATATTTATATTTAATAAATTTTTTTACGAATTCCAAAAACATATATGTTAAAGACCTGTGTACATTCAGTCTGTATTTTGTTCATACACAATCTACTAATTGCTTTATTTAATATATAGTTTTGTAAATCAGTTCGCATTGCCAAATCTTGATTAAATCCAACGATTTTCCACCACAATGCATTTGGAATGGCTTGCAATAAAATACAGCAGCGATAAAAATATAGAGTTATCTTTCTATTTGGTTAGTTATCATTAATTAGATTAAGGATCTTATTATCTCCGGTAATTATCGCGCTAATAGAGTGAATTTCTAAGCAACAAAATTGCTTAAAATTGCATAAAATCATTAACTTCTCTGGCATTCTAATAAACAAGCTATGTTCCTACTTTGATCCCAATTCACTTGGAACATAATAAAATTTAAAATTAAAACAATATTATATTACTTATGATTCTATTTAACTTTTTTTAACGAAGAGTGCTATCGTACAAAATTAAAAGAACATTGTTGTGAAAAAATGCAGGATAGCACATAGTGCAATTATTTTCCGTTCAAAAGAGAGACGCGAGACGGAGTATAGTCGCAACACACACGCGCGAGATTTCGTGTTCACACCCCGTAATTACGCGATCTGGGGAATCCATTAGCAGCGTTAACCTCACAGGTGCGAGAACACGAACGGCCGCCGATATAATCGCCACCGCGGAACGTGGCCGAATCCAGAAAAAATTAATCCGATCAGATTAGCAGGTTCATTGTAATTACGTGCGAAGCGTTAACGCGGCAAGTGCTCCCATCCGCTCGAGCCGAATGGGCGGTTTGTTCTCTCTCTTTCTCTCTCTCTTTTGGATCTCGCAAGTCTAAATCGCTGGATTAAATCAGGCTTGAACGCCATCGCACACAAAATTACAAAAGCTAAATACCGTTTTAATTTTTAAACGGCACAAATTTCTTTGTTATCTAAATCTTTTCATTCTTAAAATAAATTTTAAAAAGGAAAGAAAAGTCTATGATATATAATTCTAAAAAATATGTATGATTGAGATTCGTATTATTCGTTATAATTATTATTTTAATTGATATAATTATTAGAATATCGTTTAAGCATACAGCATGCTCATAAATTTTGTCTAATTTTAGATGAAACTATCACAGATTCAAAAATCCTTCCCGTGTATTCTATAAAATTTACATTTCTGCAAAAATTGACAATTAAACGAGTCAATTAATTGCAACATTGATCTGTTTTATATCAGCAAACGCCGACTTCGAAAATGGCAAGAAACTTTCTTACATATCAGCGATCAAGCTGGACTCGTAAATCGAAAATAAAGAGTTTAATGATCAATTGTCTTTTATCGTACAATTGAGCAGCGTGGGGAGAAGCTGCATCTGCGAAAGAGAGTCAAGAACGGAAGAGATTTATGTTCGGCGACTTATTTGGCAGCATTGTTGGCTAAGAAGCAGTTTGTTCCGCGTGCGTTTGTCGATCCTTTTTTGCGATATAATTGTAGATTCTACGCGTCCGCGGGAGCGCGTACAGTCGGGGCGGTCCTTTTTGCCGCAACTTTTCTGCCCTACCAAGCAGCGTAAGAAATCCGAGTGATCGTGTTCTACCTCATAAGCTCCGCGGCCTGCGCCCGACGTCCGGCTATCGGCATCCTTTTTATACCCGCATTTTATCACATCGCCCTCCTTTTTTGCGCAATAAATGCAATTTCCCTTACCGCAGGAACGAGTTCCCGCCTTTACTGTAGTACGACTCGGCTGTGTCTCCATTTTTATATCCCCTCCCACAAACTTCAATCGGAGAAAGTGCACGCTCTTCAATCTTTAATCGATCGTCCTCCCCGCCCCTTTCGGTCGGTTTGGCAAAAAAGGCAACCGTCGCGATTCAATCGCCCGTAAATAATGTTCGAAAGAGCGTGCAGCAACCGATACGATTATTTTTGGGAACGCGCGCGCCGCACCTTCGATTATACCATCGGAATTGGGCTTAAACGGCGCCGGATATCGCCGCTTCGTTTGCGATAAATGAAGGCGCCCGCTGCAATGAGAGCAAGATGCTTCGCTTAAGCATCTTCTGAACCTATCATCTTCTCGCGTCGCATCGAGAAAGAGCTCGATCGTGCCACTCGATAATTAATACATACTTAACAAGGGTCGGCGCGAGAGCGTAATTAAGAAGGTGCGTAATTAAGAAGGCGAATTTATGGAGCGATTCTTTAAGATGTGTTATTAGATATAAAACATCGTCGCCACACGGCGATACGCGTCTTGCCGTGTCTGATATTAATAACACACTGGCCAGAATCTCTCATAACTCGCTTCAAAACTATGTAGACTCGCGTAAGAAAATAATAAACTTCATACATTATTAAAAAATTATAAATAACACTAAATAGTTTAAATCATATTTCAAAACATATTTATGACATAAGACAGCAATAATTTATGAATAAATAAAATCGGTTCAGTGTGCAAAGAATTAAAAAATCAAATAATCATAAAAAATCTACACTACTTCATGTTGAAAGCCAAATATTTTCCACAGGATTTCTCAGTTTAAAAGATAAATAAAAGGAAATTTATAATAACTCACCATTGACCTGCAATCTACAAGGGTGATAGATAATCGATGCAAGGAACTGAATATTTTGATCACAAGCCGAAGAATTGACGGTCAAAGCATTATCTCGATGGTAGATTCGTCCGTAAATCCAGCCAGCATCCATCGCAATTGTAGCAATAAATTCACATCGCCAAGCCGACGGACAGATAGCGGCGAAACGCACTCGTACCGCATCTTTTTTCTTCGCTCATCGCGTATAAAAACGCAAATGTGCGGAGCTGTTGTCGTGTTCCTGGTTGATACATCATTTTACGAATCTGAGAAGTAATGCAAATCTGAGAAACAATCTGTAAAATAAAAGAAAAAATCAAACTAGATTATCCGTGCGCAAGTTAAATATGCTAAATGAGGTTATGTTAAACATTTTTTGCAAGAGATTTCTTATATGCGGTTCTGTTTCTTTCAGTACAAAGCAATTGAGAAGTTTCTATTTTAGAAAAATCTGAACAAAATGTCGGCAACTAAACTGAATGAATTGAATGATTGTACGAATCTTTCATTATGCTCACAAAAAGAGACGAAATCTATATAATTAATCCGTCTTTCAGAGTTTTCTATATTATTATATTATTGGCGCAATCAATGATTTTGCTCGCCAAACAGAGCATCGCCATTATTCTTCATTAGCCATTCCACTGCTTCATGTAATTCGACAAAAGCACGTCGGAAACTACGGTTATTTCTAATTCCGCTTTAATGAGCGTAATACAATACTCACCTGTCATCTTTTATAGCACTCCTGACAGTTGATTATGCATACACATGCTTAAATAAAACAGATAAGTAAGACGAAACGCAACGATCACCTATTATTTCACGACGCGATGTCCGTTAGCAGTGATACTACTAATTTGCAAACGCGAGATGTTACGCGAGCTGTGATTGGTGCATTTGAGAGGCGTATATATTTTGGCATTACTGTCCGTCAGGCGATTGATATGTTTGCAAGTCGAACAAAAAACATAACAATTGTATCTTGATACCTTAATTAAATGTATTTCAAATATTAGTTGTATTAGTGTGATTTATGCGTGATTTTTACCTTTCATTCTCCGTTTTATTTTCGTACTATTTGTCATACAAACTATCTTTCTTCCCGCTATTTCCATAAATGCTTGCGCAACTAACACTTTAGGTAGCGACATCTTTAGAAAATTTTGGTAAACTAAATTTAATTTTACGAAGATATTGAAGTTGTTTGTTTTATCGACTAAAGAATATTCTACTCCAGGATTGTGATCGATTGTTGATTAAATTTATTGATAAGCTATCGACTTTATCAATAGTTTTAGAACGATTTGCATAGACGTCGCATGATATTGTTGGAAGTTCCACGTTTCTTCGACAACTTAATGTAGTATTGTGCATAACCTCAAACAAGTTTTGTTACAATTTGTTATAAACATATGACCATAAGGAAATACAAGACTCAAAAACATTATAAATTACAATTATGGAGAAAAACATAAAACCGCTTTTGGAAGAAAATGGCAACTCAGAGTTGCTAGGCATACTAGCTGCTGTGTTTGCTATTATTATAACGTTAGGTAATGTTTATTCATAAATTATAAAACTATATTAAACGTGCTGTACAATATTTACATTATGAATTTGACAATATGATTGTTTCATATATTTGCTGTGCTTTTAAATATTGTCCGAATTTACAGGAATTTTTAACTCAGAATAAAAATATATATATTTTTTTTTATTTAGACAAGTTCTATACTTTGCTTTATAGATAGTTGATTGACAATTGATTAAGTTAATACAAGAAAAATTGTATATTTTATAAATTGTATAATTGTATTTATAGTTTTGTTTGCACTTTGGCGCAAGAAGAGGTCCGCAGGCCGTAGTATCCTTCTAACAGGACTCAGTGACAGTGGAAAAACATTAATTTACGCAAGGTTAATAAATTCCAAATTTGCCAAAACATACACATCTGTTAAGGAAAATATAGGAGATATCGCAATCAACAATGTAAATATTAAGCAATTAAGTGATATATTAAGTCTATAATCATATATATTATAATTGTGCTGATAGAAATATTTGTTTAGAGTTCTTTGAGAATAGTGGATATTCCCGGAGATGAACGATTACGTAATAAGTACTTCGATAAGTATAAATCATTTGCTAAAGGTTTGGTTTACGTGATTGATTCAGTTCCTATCCAAACACAAATCAAAGATGTGGCTGAGTAAGTATAAAGTTTGACAGAATTGACTTCAAATTACTATTAATACACTATTAATAAAATATTGTACATAATATTGAAATAGTGACTAAATTTTAATGTCTTAAATAATTCATATATTTTTTACAGATATTTGTATAACTTATTGTCAGATCCCGATATACAAAGAAATGTTCCTATCCTTATACTATGCAACAAGCAAGATCAAACAATGGCCAAGGGATGTTCAGTGATAAAAGCACTGTTAGAAAGGGAAATGAATTTGCTGCGAATGACAAAGACTAGTCAATTAGAAGCCACAGACGCATCATCTGCTAATGTCTTTCTTGGAAGACAGGGAAAAGATTTTGAATTTTTGCATTTGGACTCGCAGATTGACTTCGCAGAATCACATGCATTTCATAAAGATCCTCAAGCACCAGTTGATATTGAGGAACTTAAGAAATGGTTACATAAGATTGCATAATAATATATCTCGCTTTATTAAATTATTTGCATGGAAATAATTAAGTAATTACTTTACTGGAAGCTATCTTTTTTATATGTGATCTCAGAAGAAATCATTTCATTTCATTGTTAAGAATCTTGAAACTAATGCAATAAATAAATGTATCGTTGCATTAGTAATAAACATTATTAATTAAAATACAGTTTTATGGAATTTGGCTCGTTTATATATATCTTTCCACATGAAACAAGGCTTGTAGCTTTATAGTTATATCGAATTATTTTGATTGTTGAAACAAAATGGACTGCATTCCAATATTCACTGCCACACATGAACTATAGATTTTAATACTGGTAGTAAATATCAGAATGCAATCTTTGTAAAAATGCACAACTGCATGTAAACCTTCATTTTAATCAGATAAACTTGGAAATGTAGAATATTAATAAATATTAAATTGCGTTTGACAATTTAACATCTTAAATGTTTAATAAAGTAAATAATTAAACAAAATTGAAAAAAATAAAAATAGATAGATAGATAATGTATTAATCAATAAAAAAAATATTTTAAGTATTTTTATCGTTAAGTATTTATATCGATACATTTCTGAATCATAATACAAGAGGGAGAACTTGCGAGACAGATTCAAAATGGTTTGAGTCTTGACTAAAATGGTTTAGATCTTGGCTAGAATGGTTTGAATCTTGACTAAAATCTTAGGTAGCTTGCGCATGATGCGATACCCCCTCCATTCGTGCTGCTTGCTTCTCGCGTCTCAAGTCTGGCCACATATAGGATAGCAGCCTAAACGACAGTTTACATGAATCAACTCAAATAGTTGATCGGTGCTGCTATCTATCCTGATTATTGCGAAAACGAGTGAGGCGTCGAATTGCCTGGTTTTCCGGTGATTAGGTTATTGTGTTGTTTGATTAGTTTTAATAAGTTTTGTGCGTCGGTGTACTTCTATCGATGTAGTAAAAAATCTGTCCTTTACGTTTACAGTCAGGTGCAACGACAGGTAAGAGCCGCCGTGAGAGATACGTGATATCAGGACCCAATTTTATCTTTCTTTGAGATAATCGACGCCGAACGATCGGAAGTCTTTTTGTAGGAGATAGTAGCGACACTAGCGGGCTGATAGTGGGGATATTCAATCTTTTTATATCCTGCAAAATCTTTAATAGTAATTAATGTTTCAATTAGTGTGTTAGAAAAATCTCTATTATTAAGAAAATCTTTATTATCTTTTTTATGTTGTACGATTTATAATTAAATTTATTACTAATGAAATATGTACTAAATATTTCTACTAAACATTCTTTATTTTGCTGTATACATTAATTTTTTATGCATTGCATTTGGAACAATGCTGAATTAGCTTTAATTTAAATAAATATCTCATGTCTTTAATTTTTTAAAGTTATTGTCAGTGCCGATAAAATGCCAAAGCCACAGCTATATAAACGTTCTGTCCTAAAATCTCGTCCACTCAACATGACGTTGAACTTGGAATGTTCAGAGGAACCTCTTAGCGCAGCACAATTGAGATCAAGTATAAAACTTAAAGAGAATTGTGATAAAGTAAGTTTATGTGATAATCAATTTTTTCTGTGACATATTATATATTGATTCTTTCTATCAGGTTTCAACTATCTTAAAAGAAATAATTAATGATTATGGAGGTAAATTGGTAGCTCAAGCAGGAGCTGTAAGTAGTTATCAGTACACATTGTAAGTATCTAATTACAAGATTGAGATTATGATATAAAACTAATTAATAACTAATTAATAATTTATTGATTTTTGCAGACCTTCAGGTCCAACAGCAACCCCAACAGTAGTTCAGAACAATTCTCAAATTTTAAATGTTGTAAGTATTACACTAGAAATTGTGTAATATACAGTATAATAAAAAATATAAATTTATAAACATTTTTATATAGAAATATTGCTTCGTTTTTAGGCTCAACAAAATAAGAATTCGGCACCAATCAAACTAAATATTGGTAATACAAGTGAATGTCCACTTGTATTACCAAGGAATTCCAAGGAATATTCCCAGGGAAATATTCAGCTAGTAGTTGATCCACGTATGGGAGTCATTTTAGGACCTGTTACACAAACGCAAGGTAACAAGCTTAATAAAAGCTGAGATTTGCGTTGAAAATTACTGAAAGATAATATTATTTCAGGTACAACTACTACGACTACATCTGTAGTTTCAACTGCAGCACAAACTCAACAAGAAAATGTATTAGCAATTTTGTTTATATCTTTTTTATTACTGAATCTAAATTTGATGTTAAACATTAACCATATATTAATTCTCTTCAGTACAAGTATACCAGGTCTGGACGTAGGACAAAAGTTCTTCAAGTACAACAGCCTGACATTATAGAAGAGGTATAATCTTTACAAATACAAGTTTTATTATTGCTGTGTGATAACTAAAAAAACATTTATACTTTTATCTTATTTTTATAGTCTACACCTGTGGTTACTCATGTAAGATCAAAGTCTGGACCAGCAACACATGTTGTTACACCAAGTAAGGGTAATTATATCATTTAAATTAATTTCTCCCACAAAGTTTAAAACCTAAAACAAAAAAGTCTATGATTAACAAAAGAAATTAATATTGATGTCTCAGCTAGTACAACCACTCAAGGTGTTACAAATCTGAGGATAAAAACTGTCAATAAACAGACAGCGAATCAATCAACTGTCAGACCTACAGAACACACTAGTATAGGAGGAATATCTGTTGGCAGCAATAATGCAGGTTGAAACCTGTAACTGGACAATGTTATTTATTTTTAGAAGCATTTAATATTTAATATAATTCTATTCATTGCAAAATATTTTACAGTCGGCGAACAGATTGACGAAGTCAAGAAGAACCAACCTGATGGCAGAGAATTTACATTTAACAAAACAACTGGTGGCCGAACTTTTCCATCCTTAGTAGTGGTTGCGAGACCAAATTTACGTAACAAAGATGTCGTACTCCAAATTGCACAAAAAGAAAGACAAGCATTAGGTAGGTATCATTTTTTATTTTTACCTTTCTATAATGATATAGTACTTACACATGTTGCATTAATAATGAAATTTTTCAGATTCTAAAGTTAAGAATGTGCTTATGTTTTCCGCCACAAAATTCGCTGAATGGTTAATCCAACATGGCTTAGTAAAATCAGAACAATACTGTTCGTATTGTATACAACACAATTCAAATTATCAGAAAATTAAACTCAAATTAGGAATGTACAGCGATCAAGGAACATTTCCTTATTCTGGTGGCTATGTCTGGATATCCAATTGTTGTCCCGACAGATTTGTATCCGTTTTTTCCGGTTCTATCTTCCAAGGAGCTCCTTACACACCTACAGTGTTATTAAAATTAATCTATCATTGGGCTTGTCAAACCAATGTGCAAAATGTAGTTTCCTGGGTAAAAGTATCAAATATATATCTGAAAAATTTTTATACAAATCTACGTAGTATTTGTACAGCAGCGATATGGGACAAAACCCGTAAGATGGGTGGCAAGAATTCAGTGATACAAGTTGGTGTGATTAGCTTAGGCACCACTTCACAAGATGGACATTTGCGACAAGTAAATAATCTTGATATTCTCGTTTTGCCAAAATAGAGATTGTTTATGTAATGATAAATTTGATCTCACATTTAGGTGAAAGTCGAGGTCCTTGGTGTTTTAGATCCGACTACTTTGGACATACGATTACGCGCTTGTGACCCGATGCAAGACGGGAACAGGTCGTACAAAAGACGATTTAATAATATCCTACATCCATTAAAAGAATGGGTCCATACAGACTCCAAAATAATGACCGATTTCACTGTTGATAAAAGTACTTTACATGATATGGGCTACAATCACGTCGTGCAGTCTGCATTTGCAGATCAGAATATTAGAAATATCTTGAGTAATTTTCACATTATGGAATATCTTAGAAAAATTGTGCCAAGAATGTTTCAGAACACATTAAGTTTGCTTAGTAGGCAAATGATACAACAGTTCTTAGACGAATTAATATGGAGGGAGACATATGGTGCTTCGTCGGAACGTGCGTTTGACAATATAATCAAGCATATCGCAGAGCAAACTAGAATCGACCTCAGTGAGTAGAAAATAAATGCGTCACCAATAAGAGCATAATAATTCATGATCTTATTTTCTATATATATTTCTACATCATCAAGTAACCAAATTACATATCCTTTTAGATGAAAGTCTGCTAGATCGCCTGGCAAAGATAGCTTCTAATCCATTTCAAGATTGGTCTTACTCAAGCATACCTTTATCAACTGAAATGTCATCAATGATATCACCGAAAGATGCAACTTCAATAAATGATGCAGCATCATCTCAAAATACAAAAACTGCCGAAACTGTTCCAACCAAATCTGGCATAAAACGAGGAAGAAAGCGAATGCATACTGTAACAACTCCGGAACAAGAACCAAAAAGGATTGCAATTGATCCTAAGAGTAGTAAAGAAAAAGAAAGTAAAAACGACAAAGAGCAAATTCAACTACAAGAATTATATTATGCTACCATGGAAGGTGAAAAGAATCTGATGTTAAAAGAACACAAGTCTTCGTTATATTTCAAGGTTTGTTTCAAGCGAATCATACTGTTGGTTTCATAATTTCTAGCTTTATAGTGTTTGTTTGCTTTAGTGTTTCCTCTGTACGACGATAATGAAGTCTAATGTCGAGGTGATGGAACATATGGTCAGTCACGTACCTCCGCAAGTACCCGGTCAATCAGAATTGTCTGTATGCCGATACTGTTGCACCGCACTTTCATCACAACACCAGATGCTTACTCATGTGGCGGAAACACATAGCAATTTCGGTTTTTCCGACGGTCTCATGCTAGTTTGCGCTATTTGTGAAGAGAAATTCGGTAAGTTAATTCATCCTCATTTTTCACCCGATCTATAACAACTTGCAATTAAGAAAATAAAATAAATAGTATTATTTAAAAAATTAATAAAATATACCGTACGCGAGATAATTGCATTCATACGTATTTCTTATTTAGGAAAGAGCAAATCATTAATTGACCACTTGTTAATGATGCATTATCCTTCCGAAATGCCATATCGATGTGAAAATTGCAGTTATCGCACGTCTAGTCATAAGGACGTCATAGATCATTATTATAAAATTCATGAGAAGGGTGAAGGACTGCAATGTCCTTATTGCCTCAAGGTAAGAATAAAAGAATTGCAGCGCAAATGTGATTTTTATTCCCATATGGATTAAACAAATGTTGTTATTGTGAAAAGGTAATACAATTTGTAAATGAGGGCAACCCGAGCACGTCTAGCGTTTACGCTTATTTGTCGCATATGCAAAGACATGTTGTAAGAAGAGATCAAGGAAAAGGCAATAAGTGTTCTAGATGTTGTCTTTGGTTCAACCAAAAGAGTTTGTTAACGATGCACCAACGAGAATTACATGACTGTGTTTCTAATTCAAGTAAATATCTATTTAAATATTTAAAACGATAAAGATATTAAAGAATTCTATTAATATGGAACTCCAAATGTTAACAAAATTAGGAAACTTTATCAAGATTAATATAAGATCCTCTTTGGATCAAAAGGTCAATTTATTTTGAATATAAATTGTAATTTTCATTATTTAATAGCAAAAAAATGTTTACAGAGGCAATACCATACTCTGCTAGCAACAGCGGGATAATGATTTCAAAAGAGCGACCAGAAATAATACGATTTACTATAGACAGTCCACTCCCCGAATTACCACCAGATGAAAATATACAGAAATGGAGTACCGGGCCGATCACAGTGAATACTTGCACCAGATATTTGCCATGCCAGGAATGCGAAGAAGACATCGACGAAGAAGAACATTATCCGTAAGCATATTCTAAAATCAATGTTTTTATGTCTTACAGACACTATACTTATATATTATTTAACGAACAGAGGCGAACAGCGATGTCAACAGTGCCGTTACATCACATGTTGTTGGCGTGCGTTTCAAGAGCATCAACAACAAATCCACAATGAAAGGCCGAAGACCAGTCTGATCGTGCCGTCTCCTTTAATTAACATCCCGCTAGAAAAAAAACTGCAATGTCTGTGCGGTTACACGTCGAATAATGGCAATCGATTAGGTATAATAATTGTAATCTTTTACATTCAATATTGTTAGCAATTAATTTAAATTAAATATTGTATTGCAGCAAGACATTTGATAAAATGTAAAAGAACATCGGCACATCCTGTTGACGAATCAACACAGTCTGGTATGCTTGATAGTTTAGGATTAGTGCCGAAGTCTGAGGTAATATATTTTTACTTGTATAACTTTTTTTTCATTTCTCTTCTTATCCATTTAATTTTCATGCTTTAAATTGGTTATAGGAATGTGATGCATACGAGAAATCCCACTCACGCAATTAAAGTGACATGGAAATGAAAAATGTAATCGCTATTAAGATGAATAAGGCAACAGATATAAAATTACGTAAAATAAAAATGTACAAGTAAAAAAGTGTTTGCACACACTACTCTCCGGAAATAATTTTGCGTGGAACAAGGTTCTTATAAAATGCCTCATTATCATAGTTTCAATCATTGTTTCAAGTATGCAATGCACGGAGTATGCAAATACTTTTTTACCTACTGTATAATACTTCAACTACATTATGAATAGAACTGTATGTTTGAGTGGAACAAAACTTTTAAGATGCTACAAATAGTTCTAGAATCTAAAAAAATTTTAATTCAATCAATTGTATTCAATTAATTATTTCACACACACGTATTTTATCGTATTATTATAAAACATTACATATTACAAGTTTACATATTTCCCTTTAATTAGTGAATAGTATAAATGATAGCATAATAATAAATACAGCTTGATTTCCAATTTATGCAATTTGTTTCTGATATATAGTGTAATATCTTGTCTGCTTAAATTGAGATAACGTAATTTCATATATAATTTCATATACAATAATAAAAATATTGAAAAACTATTATACCAATTTCAAAGCTTATAGTGATACGTTGCAAAAAATATATAAAGACAATTCTATAAAGTATTTATGAGTTCTTTTACATTGAAAATCATCAATTATAATGTAAGGCTTACGACATATTGATTTTGTCCACAAGAATTATTATATTAAACAAAATTATTTGCATATTCTATGTTTTATTTTTAACCATCACCTAAAATCCAGTAATTTAATTAAATAAATGTTTAAAATAAACATTTCTGGTGAACAAGAAGTAACAATATAGAGGGTTTTATTAAATGTTTATTTATAGCAATTATGTTTTCATGTATGAATAAGAAACTTAGCATACATATTCACTTTTTTCATGTGTGTGTATGTGTGTGGTCAGGGTACGAATATATAATACTAACTGACGGGGTAAAACGCACGGAATTGTTTATCAGTTTAAAAACTTGAGGCAAGTCGATAATTATTTGCGTGAAGTTAACATACAATAATCCGTCATTCTGTACTTATCTCTACGTATGTTTCTAATAAGCTAATAACATTTTTTTATTCTTTTTTAGATATTTTTCACTTTTTTTGTATTTTTATATTTTTCATGTCTGTTATCAAGTCAACACTAAAGAATGCATTTATTAGCAAGATTTCTCTAATGTTAACTGATTGGGAATTACCAGATGTACTATCACTAATACCTAAAAACCTACAAAAATATTTAATAAGATAGTAGAACTTATATAACGATAAGTAAAGTTAATAATCCTGTACCTTCCAGTTTTGAATATCTTTAGGAAAATATATGTGCGTGTCATATCATTCTTCATTTCCGATTATTAATATAATATAATATAAATGTTTGTGTGATGTTTCTAATTTGAATTCCAAATTCATGAAGTTCTGCTATCCGTACAATGGCATAAGTAACGGCCTAAATTAGAAAATATTTTATCCAATATTTCGCAAAAAATAAAAATCTTTTATGGATTTACACTCTACGAAAGTGCAGTGGATAAAACTTTCTTTTCTTCTTTAGTTTATACTTTTGTTATTTTCTAACGCATAAACAAATTCACTGAACTATGCACGAAACTATGAATGAAAATAAAGAATTATGACATCTTCATAAAGAATGCCAGTCTATTAATCTTTCAATTTTAAAATGAACAGTAGTCAAAATTCGATGAGAATGAACTTACCGACACTAGCACAACAGATATTACAACCTAGATTACACATGTTGATAATACTTATAAATAATAAGAAATATATTACGAAGAGTAAAGTGGTGATACCCAATCTGCCACAATTAACATCGAGATATATCGATAATAAAATTTTCTCTAAAATTTGACAGTTTTGTCACCACATACAGTTGTTCAAGCGCGGATCCAAATTCTGCCAAATTCCTTCACGTGGGAATCTTTGTCAGCAATTTATATACTCTTATAAGAGTTATTAACATTGTGTTCAAGAGAATGAATCGATATACCCATCGAAAGCCTTTTATATACGCATTCTACGTATTCGCGACTATGTGTTTTTTTTTTCTCTGCTTCTCCGTCAAACCTCTTAAATTTAACGCTAAAGGTTTTCTCTCCGCCATCATTTTTTTCTGTTCTTTTGTTCGATCAGCAAATCTGTGTTTGATGTTCGACAAATCCTCATAAAAATTTCAAATTTTTAAATTTGAAACTAACAAAAATGTTAATTATATGTACAACAAAAAATTTTAAGTATATGAAACAAACAAAAAATGAGTTTTAGAATTCTCCAATCGTTTTCCGTCCAGAATTTTTACTTTACTTGCTTGGTACCTGCAATAAAACACAACAAAATCAAAATAAATAATTAAAATCATAAATAAATATATAATAATATATAATAAAAAAGATGGAAAGAAAAATTGGTTAGTAAATAAAAAGCGGTTAATTGTAAATAATAAAGATAAAGTCGCAGGATTAAGAAATTTCATCATCTCTTCTCCCGAGTCGATACCTGCGCGTTAAATTTGAGAGGGCCGAGCTGCTTGCCGATTACTCGATGGCATAGAGCATGTAGAGATTGCCGGCGTCACTGCCTGGCGGTACCAAAGCATGATTTGGCGGCAGGACCGTGAAACCCAAGAACATGAAGGTACGAACCAGCATTGCTAGACCATAACAACAGAATGATTTAGACGGTGAATCTTTCTCGTCAACACAAAAGTCTTGGACGTTTGTATCGAAGAACGGCAAGCGACAAGTACCTCGGTCTGATCTATCTTTGCGGAGGCAAACAATGATATTGGTGCAGCGCAGTGTTTCCTCGGCGTATTCTAGCAGCGATACAAAGCCCTCTTTTGACCCTTCGGGCAGAAGGCAGCTCGGTACACGAATGTATAGACAGCGGCGCCATGCTACGGTCTCCCACTCGACGGATGTGCTTTCAGTCAAGTGGAGAGTGAACGTTAGACGCAATGGTTCGTTGCTTTTCACAGCTTTCAATAATTCATCCTCCTGAAAAAAAAATAAAATAAAATAAAATGCTGGGATTACAATTTTATTCGTTCATCGGGCAAATATTTTTTATTTTACATTTGTCACACAAATGAGTTGTCGCTTTTGGTTTCCAGGATCTTTAAGCCGGAAAAATACATACTTGCACAATGTGGGAGCTCACAGAGAGCTGACTCTGCTTGATCCCCACGCCGCGGCTCTCTGTGTTGACTGTGGATACAGACAATGCGGCATGGGGCACATCAGGACCACCACAGAGGCCCCACGCCCAGCGTTATACAATAATGTTGCTGCAGCCTAGAGCTTTCCTCCAGATTCTCGTCCATGCATTTACTAGACATTTCACTGGAACATGCATTTCGTAAATTAGAAACGTGAATCTTAAGCTTCACACATAGATAATATATTAAAATGAAAAATGTACTGCTCATTCAATAAATAAAAATCTTATCTAATCAAAATTATACAAGACACAAGAATATAAAGATATGTATAAGCGTGAATGAAGATAGTGGAAAAAGAAGAAAAAGAATAAATTAATATAAGAATTCTTATTTTTTCAACGAATATACAAACAACCGATCGGCATCGCAAGATAGAGCGCTGTTCTTTAAAGAGAGGATGACGTATTTGAAGCATAAGCAGTAGATTACTGCCAAGAAATTCTTAATGAAGTGTTTATGTAAGTTCAGGATAGATTTATTTCTCCCACAAGCTCCTAAATCTAAATCAGCATATTGGAAAAGACAGATACTTCCGTGAACCGCGGTGCTCTGTCTTCTTATTAACAAGTGCGGCGAAGTGCACGATTGACGTAATAAACATTATCAGCGGCAAATAATTATAATTATTGACACCATGCCATTTCGCGAGATCGTCGCGAGAATGTTCGAGAGAAAAAAAAAGTATAGGACGTCTACCTTGACCTTTCAGCGGAAATTTCCGCAGGATGTAGCGAGAGATAGAGGGTCTTCGGAACCTCTCCGTGCGGCGGTGAGTGATCGACGTCGCGTCGTGCCTGCGGCAGTTAGATCGTCCCGGGAAAAAAACTAGAGCGGAATTCACGGTTCAAGGGGAAATAAGCAACTGCCGCACCGCGCGGCAGATGTATGCGATTTATAAGGTGCACGCGGATGTAGCGCGGGATACCGCGCTAGCTAAGGCGTATTGTCGCTCGTGTGTCGACGGCGTCATTAAAACGGGCGTCGCGCCAAATGGATAGCACAAATTTGTGTGTTGTGAAGAGAAATTTGACCGATCGGGTTTGCTTACATCTTTGTACTTTTGGCTGTTCCGCACTTCACGACACGCGCCAATGTAATTTTACTGATGTAATTTTGATATTGAGAAACATCGGACTACGTCAGCGCCGTGTAAACGTGTATTCGCAACAACATTTCGTAAATGAGCGTTTAATTGTGAATCTGTCGTGCAACAATTTATAAAGAATTCATCGCTACACTTGCATGCGATGTAACAGATAACGCGAATAGTCAATTTTAGAATTACACAATAATAATATTAATATCTTCTGAATATTATCTTATATTGTAATACGCAATTCGGACATTCATCGTACTTTCATCCTAAGAATCCTTGCGCGATAAATAATCACGTTCGATGTTTCATATATTTATATTTCATCAGAAATTATCAGAGTGCGTGAGTCAGTGTGTTACAATACAATACTGATATACTATCAGTACTTAGAATTTTTCCTCATGTCGATATTTAAAACGCTGATTGTAATCAGTATCAGAGATTGAGCTTTTAATTCTTTGGACTTATGAAAAAACCGTATAAAAAAAATAACATTATTATGTATCAACAATGTCAGTTATGCGAGGATTTTATTATCTTTTTATTGTTGTAAGACGATTAGCTATAAACCCTTACAATAAAACGAGCAATCAGATATGTTCTATTCATTATACATGAAGTTTGATCTAAAATAATGTGATGATAACGATAGATTTTATATAGCTCTAAATTATAATATCAAACCTATATTTGCATCTGTTTTTTGCAATTCGAAGTCATAATTAAAGCAGTTTTTCAAGTTCAAATGTTATCGACATACGGAACGTGACAATAGGTCATCTATTTGCGATTGAATGTTTAATATAGCGCAGTGTTTAATACACATCCGCTGTGATATGTCAGAATGAGATAAAACACGACTATGCACATGATTGAACGAATATTGATACGTAGAAAAAAAGAAAATTTTTACGTTATTAAATTTAAAAGAAATAATATATTCATATTTTGCGGGCAAAAAAACTAACAGACAATTAACTAGAATTTTATTGTCGTTCTCGACGCGTTTTGACGCAGCAATCTCGCGTGTTTTCCGTGAGCTCTGCTCGCGTTCAATCGTTCTAGAAGCTTCTCTGAGTCGATTGACGAATATTTACTTAGAGGCTTATATTACATCAAGCCTCTATTATATCAACCAATTGTACTCTTTCATGAGACGACGTGTTTTCGAAATAATTTATGGTTTATCAACTGTTCAAGCGTAGCGACGTAACTTATATTAAAGTAGATAACATTGAACGTAGAACTTTAGAGTGTTTATATTTGTTTGGCACAATTTTCAATTAGATATATGAAAAGGAAAAGGATTAACAGTTGTGAATAACAGTTTGTTTAAGAATTAATCACTAAAGTTGATATCGAAACTTTTGATATTATTCTGTACGTGTGCTTATTTTAATAAATAATACGTAACAATCCAATTGCAAATACAAAAAGAAAAAAGAAGAAACCAAGAATAGAGATGTGAACATTTCTTTGATATTTACGTCACTCGCTACTTATGTATTTGTTCGATATCTACTATTGTTGCATGTATATGGACAAAAGACAACTTGCTGTTACAGCTGTCCAATAGAGAAATAGGCTAACATAAGTTTAATTTGCTGACTAACAAGAATTACGTAAGACCAAGATGTATACAATAAGATGATAATAGACGTTTAGTAACAGAATATTTTTTTACTGTATACAATGCGCGCAATGTGCGAAGAATAATCTGGCCAAAAATGTATAAAAATCGATTATAAATTTATATTAGAAATACAAAATGTGACCGATGGTATTGCGATAGATTTCTCTAATCGAGTTGTAAACTGCATTGAATAACTCTTTAATCAATAAAAGCGAGAAAATAATAGAACAGTATAATCGGATATTGCATGTATCATGCAATTTATTGAATTTATTTACTAAACGTTATTGATTTACTGATAATTATAAATACACAAACCTTACGTAATTACGATAGCCAAAGCTATAATGACGAAACAATTTATTTAACATAATTGAACTATGAAATGAAATGTTATCTATTGTCCGCGTATTATCGCAATTTAACAAGCAACAATTTCGTATCAATTTCGTATCAATTTCATATCGTTTTATTATCGCCGTCAAAAAATACCAATCCAAATAATTCATCGCACATTTCTCTCTTTATTTTAACGATGTAACCGTTGAATTTAAAAAAAAAAAAAAACGATGAATTGAAAATAAATTCACTTTGCAGCTTATAAAACTGTATTTTGCACGGAAAAATATCACATGTCGAAAGATGGAACATGAGATAAAGCGGTAATGCTGGTTGTATATCGATTGACCGAGACGGAACTTGACGTTGTAAAAGAAAGCACAAAGCCAATGTCGCTACTCTAACGACGCATTACGTTTTTCCACGTGATAACATTATATAAAAAAAACAAATAAATCACTCGTCCTCTTTGTTTCCGTTATTTGTGAAGTAATTTAAATCTTTTATTATAATTTGTTATAGTATGATTTGCAATTCACAGTGTAATTATAAAACATTTTTATCAGTCGTTATCTTTCGGAATTTTCAGGATATTTTTAGTTTTTTATATGAAAATAATCAAATCATTCTGGTTCGCTCTGTAAATCGAATACACGCTCTCAAATAGAGCTATTGCAAAGATTTTAATTCAGATAATCTTGTAAATATTTTGACTTATTTTTCCACTGCATTAAAAGAGTTTAAAGTTGCTACAAATATCGTTTTTACGAAGCTTAATGATTGCCGTTTATTATGACAGGGGTCATATGCAGCTGATGCAGCAAAATATAGATGGTTGCGATTACCACAATGTACAGTTACATCTAAAATCACATGACTATAAATAATCATCAATTAAGTGCTCTGGGTGCATTAATACATTTATTTTTGTTTTCCAAAGAGCAACGTTGATTAGATAGCTGACAACAGTCTGCAACCACTGTGCTCTTTATCTCGTTTACAGATTTCAACATTTCTAAAGATAACACGCATTTTATACTGGAATTTTGGCTATGCAATTTCGGAGCATGTTATTTCAGAAGTTCATTAAATATACAGAAACAAGAACCATGTCTGTGTAACTAATCGCAACAAATAAAAAAAAGAAAATCTATATTTTTAGTTCATCGTAGCTAGTTATAGCTGATAGTTTTTTAGATTTAACCGAGAGTAACTCGTCCCTTCAAAATTTAAAGTTCCATAGCTGTGTTAGATAAGAGAAGAGTATTATAAATGATGTCTAAATCTTGTCTAAATAAATATTTTCCAAATAAACACATCTCTAAATATTATACATTATGATGCAATTAAATAAAACAGTGACAATGTATCAGAGTAATACTTACTGATTTAGTAGTTAATTTTTGATAAGATTCAATAAAAATGTACTTTAAACTCAATGATTATTATAAGCCAATTATAAGCCAAACCAAACATATTCGTTATCTTTCATTAATGTGTAATCATATCACAAATCAGTCACAAGAAGATAGCATTGGTATTTTCTTTCTTTAATTACAAATATAACTGTAAATCGTAACATATCAGATACGATTAGATATGAATTGTACTTCTGGAAAATTTATCCGAGGAAGACAAAGACGTTTATTACGCCGTTAGAAATGTACGGCACTTCCAACGCAAACGTCTAACGGAACAGCTGATAATACAATGCTATTGACGGTATACCGTAATATACGGAAAAGAAATTTCTAGCTGGGCTGTCACGTGGCCGCGATTAAATCAACTTCGCATACACGAGATTTCTGCGAACATTCCGTTTTCACCACGAATGATTCTCAAGGAATGTCTGCTTGTACGTTCGAATTATTATGGGTAACAAGAGGGGCGCGTGATAATTTCGAGTTATTCCATCCAACCACTCTTCCTAGCGATTCAATGACAAGCGAATGATATGCCCCTGACACAAGCTGTCTCGCATTTCGATGGCTTGACGAAGGGACATCACGCGATAATGGTCGCACGAAATAAGATACGATAGTTTACAAATAGAGATGAGGAAAGAGAGAGAGAGAGAGAGACAGAGAGAAGAGAAAACAGCAGAAGGAATGAAAAACACGGATCAGGACGCGACATGCAAGATGGCGATCCGCGGGGAAGGCGAGGACAAAAATGGCGCAGTTGTATGGATTGCTACTCACCAATTACTGGAAATTAAACTCGGCATCGTCGGCTTTTTACTACTTTCACTATTACTTAACGACAGACTGGAGTTAATACTCATACTTCTTTCTTCGTAAAATTTTGGCGGCTTTAAATGTACTGCTCCACCGCGAAATGTTTGCTGGAACAGCGATTGACGATTGCGACAACGAAGACTGATTGTGGCGACTTTCGCTACGATAGAACGCGCAAGATCAGAAACTCCCGTTAGGACGCACGAAACGTTACTGTTGGAGCTACGGTCGACGCGTGCCCTGTATAGAGCACCGCTTTGTGCCACGTGACGTTGAATCAGGATCTCCTACGAATCAAATGCGTGATAGACTCCCACGTGTACGCACATGCGCCGATTGCGGACTTTTAAATGCAATTAAAAACAAAGAGATTTTCTTAATCTTTATTAAAAAATTTAAGAACAGATCTCATTTCTAAATACTCACCTGATAAACAGATTAGAAGAAAATTGTGATAGAAATCATAATCCAATTTTTCACAATCAACACATATATGTATAATCTGGAAGTCGCACAAAGAATTTACATCAGATGATTATCACAAACTGTTCTGCTTTATTCATAAAGAAAATAATCAAACAAGTTGCACATCAAATTCTTGGAGCAATTTTTTATTCATTATAATGTACAATATTGTTTTTTGCGCATTTACGCTCATGGATAAATAAATAAAGTCAATACTCTGCATACTTTTTCTAAGACACATAATGGGAGGTGAAAAATACTCGAAAGTACATTTTAACTATACACAGGATATTAAACTCGATAGAGAAAAAGAGAGGAAGTACATGGCCGGTAAATGTTGGCGTAAATCAAAATACTCGACCCTCACTTTGAAGCCCGAATATCCTTAACTCTTTCTTTCAAGTCTATCATACAAAAATTTGGAATGTTTGCAGAATTCAGACATCTTGCTAAAGGTCGCACAAGAGGTGTGTCTTATTATCACTAAATGCTCGTCAATCGGAGTATACGTCAAGGCACAATGCACTAGATTGTTCTTTACCTACCATTGTTTAACTAATTTAGACTCTTCTAAAAAGGATAAACCTCCTTCCCACAATACATAACAAAATAATATTCGCGTTAGGATTCCCTCGAGACAGATCACTGTAGGTACACATGCTATGATATGATATTTCAAAAGTAAAATGCTTCAACTCGACGAATAATGGCAAAATATATAAACGACGGTAATAATAATACTCTCTTACACGATTAAGTAGCTATTTAGCCGCACATCACTTGGCGGACAAAATCTTCGTAATTAATATTACCCTGTGAATCTTCATGACCTGCCAGTAATGTTTCCACTTCCTCATCGCTGAGCTTCTCTCCTGTAATGATGCATAATGAACATCCTGTACATATGTTTCTTCAGAAAAGTACACTCAGTACTTACCAAGCGTCGTCAGAAGGTGTCGCAATTCCGCAGAAGATATAAAGCCATTTCCATCCTTGTCGAAATGACGTAGGCCTTCAATAAAGTCATCTGCTGTATCTGAGGTACGGGATTTGCTGATTGCCTGGTAGATTGGTAGGAAGACCTCGAAACTGATACGCTCATCTGGCTTATGCTGATGAGTGAACTTCTTTACATCTGACTCGGTCGGGTTTTGGCCAAGAGCGCGCAATGCGTCACCGATTTGAGAGACATGGATTTTTCCATCTCCACGGCTATCAAACAATTGAAACGCCTCCTGGAATTCTATAGTAATATACTTTTAGATACTTAATAATAAACACCACACACACATATATATATATATATATGCACAAAATAATTTCAGAAAAGATTGACATTGCTTTGTGAAAATTTTCATAAAGTTATTCTACAAACAGAGTGGAATAAAGATTTTATTTGTCTCTCCATTGTCTAAATCTATAGTAGCTCGCATTATAGTTAAATTGTTCGAGTATGACAAACCACTGATATTCTAAACCAAGAATAGATTTACCCTCTATTGAGGACATCATTCTATTAGCTAGCTCCTGATAGCTAAACCCATACATTCTGCACTTTTGTAAGAAGATAATATTTGACACTTAACAATCACTAGAATTTTGTGACGCGAATTTTGTGTAACACGTCGTGAACGTCTTATATCGGCCGATCTCTAATTCGCGAGAGTAAACCAAGAATAATCGGCAAGTTTGAAGTGGAGGAGGCGGGAGCGTGATTAAGTCACGGACGACGGCGGTGACTCGCTTTCAAATACCAGGCCATAAAAGGTAGTCCTCGATAAGTGCGCGCGCGCCAGGGGTGCGTCTAAAAAGGCGAGGATATTCTTGACCTGAATTAAAAGCCTGGGGAGAAGAGCGCGACGGACCATCGGCTTTCTCGTTTGTTCACGAGTCCCCTCGTCCTCTCTCGATCTCACTCCACGGCTGTACACAGTCGCCTTCACTTACCGGCCAGCTGATCCTCGGAATAAGACGCCTGCGGACATACATACGTAGCGATTCATTTAGACGCATGCTCATCGTGCTAGCTCGCTGACGACTTATCATCGACACACTTCTTGTATTTCCTCACGGTCTTCTTGTATACTCACCATCGTCGGATGCTCTTCCGGCAACAGGGAGCAGCAATAAGGAACGAGAGATAACTATATATGCGGATCCACGTACAGGCGGTGTCCGACGGGCTATAGCTTGTTGCGTAGGGAGCAAATAAGCTTCTCACCTTCGTCAACGGTGACGTAGCGAGCGGAAGTGAGTCACGATCGCAACAGGCAGACTTTCTTTTCGAATTGACAAGAAGTTTGTAAACCTTGCCGTAAAAGTTTGCCTTGTGTAATTGTTGTACGATCGAACGAATGTTACAAAGCTTCTGACATCGCTGAGAAGCTGACACCGTCAATGCTTTTCACTCAATTTCACTCTATGAACTGTGAAATTTTTAAAATAATGCCATCTATTGATATTTTTCAACACTCAAACTATTTTAGCCAAGACTCAAACCATTTTTAGGTTTAAGTCTTGGCTAACAATGATTTGAGTCTCAACTAAAATGGTTTGCACGCTGAAAAATGCTAACAGATGGCACTATTTTGAAATCTAAAATCCAAATATGCATTATGACCTCTATATATTCATGTATCATGACTCAGTTTACGAAAATCTAATCGTGGTTAAACGTGGTTATAAAACACATTATCAGTTAAGGCTGGTTGATGCACGAGTGTTAAAAACCGTTATTTGTATTCGTCCTCAGTAACATCAATTCGTTTCTTTTTATTGGATGGTTATCCAATAGGTGTTTATCAATCGCTTCTGTTCGTGCTAATCCAGCGTTATGATGAAATTTGCGCCTAAAACGTACGCGTCAGAATGACGTATATAAATGCCGATCAATTTCACATATAGAAAATGTGGCAGCAAACACATTATTTCCCGCTGTTATTCACAATCGCATATTTTCTCGTTTCTGCTGATAACATTGCTGTTAATACAGAACAGCTGAAGTTATGCGGTGAAGAATCGACAAGTACTCGCAGGTAATTTAATTTTTTTTCGACGGACAAAGCAAGTTTCAGTAATATTTTAACAGGAATAATTTTATTTTTGAATAGATTTGATCATTTTTTCAAAATATTCTATATAATTTTGTATACGGAAAGAGAATAAATAAATTTAACAAATGTAATTAGTTAACTTTCTATTACCTTTTAAATTATCTTTTCAAAATTTTGAAAACTCAATAGATAAAATAAATATTAAATTTATACTTTTAAAAGTTTGTAAATTAGGTTTTTATTCATAATCAGTTTCAAAGTTGTAATAATTGATATATAAAAAATAAATCTATATAATTTGAAGGTTAAAATTATAAACCTAGTAAAATGTCAACTGCATGTCAGAATCTTGATCTTTGATTTATAAAGAGAAATGTATTATTTTACAGTTTAGTGTTTGTTAGTACATTGGATGGAAAGATATCTGCTCTTGATGTTGCTAATCATGGACAAAAGCTGTGGACTTTGGATTTCAATGATGGACCAATGTTATCATCTAATATTCATCGCAGAGAAGTAATGAAACATTTATAAGTTAAAAGATAATTTTAATTTGTTTATTATTGTAAATTATAATTTATCACTTGAAAATAATTAATTTAGCTCAATAATAATGGACAATGGATACGTCTGATCCCATCTTTGAATGGTGCTTTGTATAAGTTTGATGGAGAAAATTTGGAAAATGTACCAATATCCACAGATCAATTGTTGCGTTCATCATATCGTTATTCTGATGATTTAGTCTTCTCAGGTGGTAAAGAGCTACATTCCTATGGTAAGTTTTCTCATATAAATATATAGGATGTTACACTTACAGTACTTAGCTAATTTAAAATCTTGGACTTGTCTTATAATTTTGAAATATTGCGTGTATAATAAATATAAAGATTTTATACTTTTTCACTAAAAAAACAGTAACTGAAGAATATTTCTATATTTTACGTGCTTAAATTTCTAAATGTAAAAAATAAGTATTTTCTTAAATAGGTGTATCAGCCAGTACAGGACAAATTTTATATGAATGCAATGTTGATGGGTGTAAAAACAATACAAATCGTGAAGGATATCTAGAGCAAGAACAAGATTTACTTATTATTCAACGTTTACAACAAACTGTGCGAGCTATTGAAGCTCTTACAGGTATTGAAAGGTAAACTAAATTAAAATAAGTAATTTTATTTTTACTAAAAAAATTGAATATGTATAAACAGCATGATGTTATTATTTAAAGGTGGAACTTTAGTGTTGGACAACATGATTTAGTGTTGTCACCTTCTGCAGATATTTATTGCTCCAATAAAGCTACTGCTCTAAATATAGAAATCAAAGCAATTATTCCAGAAGGTTTGATTTGGGCTGTCAGTAAAAATGATCCTGTTGTTAAGTTATGGCAACATAAGGTTGGTATATAATTATAGTTTTTTAATATGTGCAGAATAATAAAAATTGTTATTTTTATTAGTTTGACTCTCCAATTGTCACAATATGGCGTGAAAATGCATCTAAAACTTCTACGAATAAAGGATCTTTGGAACAAATTAATTTATTCGATAGCTCTCAATGGACCTGGGGATCAGAACATTCTACAGTCAATCCAAGTTTATATTTAGGCATGCATGAAAAACAATTATACGTGCAAGAAAATTTCAATCTTCAGAATTCAGATTTGGATTTGTTTTCTACACGTGTTCAACACACAAGATACCCATGGCAGCCATATCCAGCTGATGGTATAAAAATTAAACTTATATATTTTATTTTATGCGCTTTACATTTACAAAGTTGATTTTTATTATTATTGTTTTTAATATGATTTTAGAAACTGCACTTACAAGTACTTCATTAAGTGAGGATAACAATGAAGTTTCTGATGAAGCAACTCAAATACAGAGCACAACTGCATTATCTGTATTATATAATTCAGAATATATTAATGGTAATACTTGTGCATATCAATATTAAAAATTATTGATATGGACAAATTTATACAATATATTTTTCTGTAGGTAATGGATTTTACCTATATTCAAAGAATCAGCTAACTGATCAATGTAATCGTAGCAACATGAATATGCTTAATATCAATGAAGAAAAACCTATCTCGATTTATACGACAGAAGAGACAGATGAGGAATCAGATCAAATACAAGTGATAATTTGGATTAAGTGGTGAGTTCTTTTATAAAATAGCAATACTACTTTGTGTTTGTGCACGTACACACAAAATAATACATATATTTTAACATACATATTGTTATATTTTTAACTTGGTGTCATATTGTTATCCAGGAAGGGAATGTTGATGATAACACTTGCTGCTATTTTGTTGAATTATCTGTATATGCCACATTTCATACTTCGTGACTTAAACAATTATTACAATAATGTAATAACAATTTTTAAAACTAAAAATACTGTATTGTTGGTAAGTGAATTTATAAATTGTATTCCATTTTATTTTGATATTTTTTTATACTTTTAATAGTTGTTGAATATATTTCTTTTTTTTTTGGTCTATTTTGATTCATTCTAAATGAGTGTTATATTTCAGCCTTCTATAATAGAAGGACAGATAGAAAAGAGCGATTTAATTAATGGCGACAGTGAAAATATAAATAATTTTAAATCACGTTATTTAACGGACTTTGAGCCAGTTGATTGCTTAGGAAAGGGAGGATATGGTGTAGTTTTTGAAGCAAAAAATAAAATTGATGATTGCAATTATGCTATCAAAAGAATTGCCTTGCCAAATAGGTAAGTTCTCAATTGATTTTTTTTCTGTTATAAATGATACAGTTCTGAATAAAATTTAAATTTTAGCAGATAGAGATTGATTATAGATTATATTGTAAGTGACGATTTCTCGAAGAACAATATTTTAATTTCTTTATTATATTTAGTAATGTTTTGTTTAAATCAATAAAATTATAAAATTTATTACAATTTTTTATTATGATTTTCAATTATTTGGCGGATTTTTTTTAAATTTCTTTAAATTTCAAAAACTTACTGCTAGCGTCTAGTTCCACTTATAAACAAACAGAACTTGACAGTAGGATTGTAATTGAGTAAGAATTTTATAAAAGAAATTTTTCAGTGGAGATTCGAGAGAACGTGTAATGAGGGAAGTAAAAGCATTAGCTAAGTTGGATCATCACAATATTGTGAGATATTTAATGCTTGGCTAGAATGTCCTCCTTGTGGATGGCAAGAAGAACACGATCAGCAATGGATTGATAAGCTAAAATACTTCATCTGGATTTCCTTCAGAAATAACTCAGACTGAAACAAGACTTAACGGTTCTGTATGCATCGATGTTTCACATACTGATCCGTCTTCCATAGAAAATGCACTCGATGCTTTAAAGTTTAATAATAAAAATGTTAATGATGATTCATTTGTTGTATTTGAAAAATCAAGCAGGCAATACGATACAGATGCAATTTACATTGATGGTTGTAGTACTGACAATTCAAACTTGGTTTCTTCAAGAAACGAAACTGAAGAAGAATTGTCTGATGTTAAGGATACCAGTCATTCCGACAGTATTGTATTTGAAGCAACTGATAATAGTGTGCTAGAGAAAGAAAAATACGAACACCAGAAACTCTTTTCCTCAGATTTAAATAACAAATCAAACAAACAAAAATCAGCAAAAATGTTTCTATATATACAAATGCAATTGTGCCAAAGACTCAGTCTCAGGGAATGGTTGAAGCAACACACATCAGCAAGAGATCCTTTCCAGGTGTTAAATATATTTCAACAGATAATAGGTGCTGTGGAATATGTCCATTTACAAGGATTAATTCATCGAGATTTGAAGGTAATGTCAGACTTGAAATATGGATTATGAATTAAATCTTTTATTTTCTAATAAGATTTTGTTTTTCAGCCATCGAATATATTTTTTGCTTACGATAATAAAATAAAAATCGGCGATTTTGGCCTTGTAACTGCAATGACTGAAAGTTGCGATGAGATCTGTATATCTGATCCCGAGAATGAAAATATTACTTTTAAAAATAGTATACATACTGCGTGTGTTGGCACTCACTTATATATGTCACCTGAACAAATAAGTGGCCAAATGTACAACTATAAAGTAGATATTTATTCTTTAGGAATAATTTTTTTTGAGCTTCTTACACCATTTTTTACTGATATGGAAAGAATAGTGGCGCTTTCAAATCTGAAACAACTTATTTTTCCAAAAAATTTTGCAGACATTTATACTACTGAGGTAAGATAGTTGAAAATATTAATTTTCTCATTATTAACTATTATTACACACATAATATGATAAAATATTTTTCTTACAGTACAATTTGCTCAAAATGATGTTGGATAATGATCCTACTAAACGACCTACAACTTTAGGCATTAAATCAAGGTTACCCTTGCAAAATTATGAAATAGCTAATGAACTTAATACAGATAAAGATTCAAAGTGGCATTTTGAGTTGCCACAATTAACTAGACATTCTTCTGTGACTAGCAGTAATACTAGTAATGAATCGTTTGAACACATAAGTTAAGTATGTAAGTAACAAATATTTTTGAACTTCTTATTCCAGATAAGTCCATAAAATGTTATTTATTTTTTTATGCATTAATTTATCAACATTTTGAGGATAAATACTCGTGCCGTTACACGAAATATATTATGAATATGAGTAATAATATAAATTTCAATCATATCAATATATCGAAATATAATTGTGATCCACTTAATCATTAGCTAATTTATACTAGATATTCGTACTAAATTGGTCTAATCAGCTATTACAATAACAGTACAGTGCAAATTTAGCACGAATAAAAAATATAAATTAGTAGTATACAATTTTTTTTTATTAGTTTTCTATCACATCTTATGTCATACAATGTAGAAATTTTATTTGTACAACACTTTAATAGTAACACTACATAATTTTTAAATCAAAGTTGCTGTATTTTAATAAACAACTTTTTAAAAAGGACCAGAATATTCCTTACATATAAATATTAAGAATCATCAACTTTTATCTTCAAATTATTAATTTTTGTGAAAAATATGTAATTTTTATATTAATAATTAAATACGAATAAAATCCGTATTATAAAATTAATTAAACATGATTTAAAAATTATTTTTAAATATAAAATTGTGTAGAAAATATACTAAATGTTAATTATTTGTAACTATATAAAGTTTTTGCACTATGTTCTTTTATTCTTTTTTTTGTTTACAGCTTTTCAGGAAATTTGTAATTGATTGCTTTTTGATTTCTTAATTAAAGCTCATATATTTATGCAATACACATGCAATATACATGCAATATACATAATATCAATTGATTGACGTTTTAAAGATGTTAAGGATTCATTCTGTCTGATGTACGAGATGCTAATAAGAAAATGTATCTTTTAAGGACTTCTATAACTTAATGTTATATTCATCTTTCGACTGTTTTTTTATATTGAGATATATTTACTAATGACTAAAATATTGGATGAAAATTAGATGCATTTCATCAAGTTATGATAATTGGTACTGCTTTTTATTGTGTGTTATGTTGTTATTGATAATGCTTTATTCGGCGTTTTTTTATAAAACTTTAAATAATTTCACCGCCAAATTCATAAGTTGCGGGTAAACAGATTAATTAGAGCAAAATCCGTTGCGCGCGCCACTGTCTCGGTCGCCATAATGCCTCTACATGCATCGGTTCGGAACGCGAAGTACGAACGCTCCGCTGTTAATCGCGTTTTTAGCTATATTAATCCGTGTTCGCAAGTGTATCAAGTCTAAATTTTTGCTGGTGTACCGATTAAAGTGACGTGTAATTGCCAAAATGCATTATTTACAATGTATTTGTGACAAACGGCATTGTGATTTCGTCGCGGTGATCTCACAATTGGTTCGTAGATCTACAGTTTCAGTAAGTACAAATTTCTATGTTGGAAGCTTTATTTTATGCGTATTTGGATGTATCGATTAAAATAATGTATGATTGTTGGAATGTATTAGTACGAATGTTTGTATTTGATGACAAATTATCAATAGTTTAGCAGTTTAATCATAAATATACAATTCATGTAAAAAGAGATTTTTATGTTTAAAGAGTTATTTTATGCTCGCTACGCGCATAACAAGTACAGCTATTTGTCAAGTCAATTAGCATGCTAATGAAAGTAAATGGACGATTGCCAGAAAGACAATTATCACAAGCATTTGAGAGTCAAACGACGGTTCGCCGTTAGTCGAAATATATGCAGAATCATGCAACGTTCGCGGTCTCCGTTTTGAACAGACGCGGATTAGTAATTGTAACAATGATCGAGAGATGGCGTGCATTGAATTATCTGTGATCGATATGATCAACCATACCGACGTTATATGCAAATACTACGCGCGCTATCTTTTTAATCGCCATGACAGTATATCTGTACGTATATCAGTTCGGAACATTTGGAGCGCGAATGCTTCGATTAATCGTACATTTTATTCATATCAATGCATATCTGTAAATGAATAACGAATGCGAATCTTTTTCAAAAGTGCTGATGCTAGATAAAGTAATGCGCGATTGCCGAAACGTATTACCGCGAGTATTCATGGTTAACATCTACATCGATCGTTGTATCATAGATGTAAATCTATGCGATCACAACAATGATATGTGCGTGTGTGTGTGTGTGTGTGTAATAAGTTTCCAATGTTCATCGATTCTTCTACGGAACTGATGCAGGACAGTCTAAAGTGAAATCCACAACACAGTCTGCAGTAGAACAAACTACAATATCCTACTTAGTGAGTACAATTATTTAAATATAAATATAATTGAAATGCTATACACACAATTTATATAATCAATATACATACAACGTATAATTTATAATAATTAAATTATATATTAATTTTTCTAGGTACAGCTTTGACAGCGTTCTTAAGTAGGATACAACGACCGGTGAGTGCATTAATTCATTATATTTGCGTATTTACAAAAATATTGAAATTAGTCATCTTTTTATTCCCCAATATTTACTATATAATAATTAAAACTACGCTTTGAAAATTAAATTTTCGTTGCATTTTTACATTTGTGAAAATTTTTAAATGTTGTACAAATTATACGCACAGCTTATCAATTTTGAATCGTAAAATTAGAAAATTTTGAAAATATAAATTATATAATTGTATTTGAAAATAAATTATATATAAACATATATACAGAATAGAAACTTTTACAATACATAAATTTTATAAGAAATTGATCTGAGAAAATAAAGTTTTACAAATATAAATTATGAGAATATAATAGCAATATAATAGTATATATTTTTCACTTTATTTTATTAATAATTATTATATGTTTAATTTTTTAATGTTTTTACAAAATGATAAATTATCAAAGTACAGTTTAAGTCAAAGCGCAGTTTGTTGCTTTTGCGGGCAACAAAAAACCCATATCGATGCAATTGCTTATACAGCAATTGATATAATTTATCTGCTTTTATGACGCACGTTTTTATTGAATGATTCTCTTCTTTGACCAGATTTTGTAACATTCTACATACGACACGTTTTACAAAATTTTTCTCCACAGCTGAAAAAGAATTGATACATTATGTCTTTTCATTCTTACTGCAATTCCGTTATAGACTTTATGATTTAAATAATTTTTTTCTATTGTTCTATTTATAAATCTCATATTTGGTATTTATTATTTTAAATTGTGGCAAAATTTTAAGTAAATATATATCTTTCTATTTTAAATAGAAATAATGCACTTGACTTAAATAAGCTATATCATTATGTTTGCCACTAAAAATATACTTGTCGGTAGTTAATGTTGGTTGAAAAGAAGCTAGTTATTCAAATTAATATCTTTCTTAAACGATTACGAAGTAGCAAGTATCATAAGGCACAGTAATTATGGTGCAATTATTTAAATATGTACATAATTGTGTGATAACACATACATATACAATTACAATTATAGTCAAATTCCTTTCTTTTCTTGTTTTCCTTTTTATGTTATGTTTCTGCTATTACTTTCTATTTGCTCGACTGTGTAAGTGTATAGAGTGAGAAATGAAGTAAAAGATAAAAAAATATCATACAATATTATCATCGACAAAAATCAAATTTCTATATTATTTAATGTTATCTATTCATATATTAACAATGAGATCTATTGTCTTCTGTTTTTTTATTTATCTTTTGGTCCCAAATCCCATACAGCACAAAACATCCTCAGGATATCCTCAGGACATTGAGGATATTTCGGTGTCCCAAGGATGTTCTGAGGACATCGAGATCTCCCCAAGATGTCCTAAGGATACGTAGGATATGTTGTGCTGTATGGGATATAAAGTAGCAATAATATAATGCAAAAGAAGAAGTGAAGAATAAATAAGAAAATTAGAAAAAGTATGAAAGTTAGACTGTGTAATTTAAATATATATAATCAATAAAAATTGATTAACTCTCATACTTCTAATTTTTTCTCTTTCTTTATTTCTTCTTTTGCATTATTTTATTGCTACTTTATATTTGGCTAACCGTAAGACTAGAAAATAAATGACAAATAGAAAGCAACAAATCTTATTGTTAATATAAATAAAATATTGTTAATATGGATAGATAACATTAAATAAAATAGAAACCTGATTTCTATGATCATAGTGTTATATGATATTTTTTATCTTTTATTCCATTTCTTGTTCTACATATTCACTCACAATCAGTCAGAAAAATATGAAATAGTAGTAAAATAACATAAAAAGGAAAACAAGTAAAGAAAAAAAAAACTTGACTATAATTGCAACAGTAAATGTCTTTTCAAGAATATAAAATACAATATGGGAGAGAAAAATATATAACACAAAGCAAAACGAGTCATAAGAGTCTAACAACTTTGTTTTATTGTATTAAAAGTGATAAAATTAGATAGACAATAATTATACACACAATATATATCAGTCGTTTATTCATCGACATTTAATCATAATCATGAAACTTATGTTCTTTTATATTACATAACGAATGAATACTGCGTACGAATACAACGAACTGAAATACTTATTCTATGTTTCATTCTTAATCTAGATTGTCTCTTTGAGACGTTGATATTTGTGTTAGAGCTCTAGTTGCATTAAAAATGTATTACTTAAATCTTTGAATGTATTGAAAATGAAATTTAAACGTATCAGTATCCAGCTTTTTTTACAATTATTTTTGCATCAAGCTTTCGTGTTACGTTACTTTCAAATATTATGCAGCTGAATAATTTAGATTTAATAAAACGTATCTCTGAATCCTATAATTAGAAAAATTTTGAAATATGATATATTGTTATGAAATTCACCGCGTTCCAATTTGTTTGGCCTATATTTTATTTCAATCTTTGCTGAATTTGAAATATAACAATGCGATGCTTATATTCTGCACGGTCTGCTCTGTTTTGCAGTTTTGCATAACTCGATAATTTTGCTTATACGATTAAAGCAAAAGATTAGGATCAAATAACTTACAATCGTATTCGTCATCGATATTCGTACGATCGTTAAGTAGTGAACAATTATGATAATTTCTTATTACATAAATAATCTATTATTATTATTATACGAAAAGGAAAAATTATTTCGGATATTTCGCAGCAACTCCTTCATTAAGTACAAAAAAAAGTAAAGAAGTGTGAGGAAATTTCTTATTTTCGCGTGGTATTAAAGGCCCATATTTATCAGTGCCAAATATATAAGTATTGAATTAGCTTATTTAATTTCACGTTTTATTCATGAAAATGAAAATCGTATCGAATAAATCGAATAGACTGTCGATCAGGATGAGATAGCAGCACTAAACGTACGATTTACGAGGTATATACGGGAACTAATCATAAGTACGAAGTATGAATATTGTAATTTGATGCGCAAATGATAAACGCAAATAGTGTGCTTACGCGAATAGAACTTCCTTTTTGTTCTGTCAACTCAACGCATAGACGTCGGTAACACTATGTGTAAAATTGTTATTGTCGTTACAATTTTTCTATATAATTATTAAATAATGTCGTAAGATGTAGTTAAATTAACTAGTTACATAATAGATAGTGCATCCGTAAATCTTTCGGATCTATAGAACCTATATGCAACTATGCAAGAAATGATCAAGTTTTTCAACATTTAGTTCATTCGATTGTTATAAATCTTGGTTGTTTTCCTTTCGCAAAGTTGTCGTCATTATTCCTTGTAATTCGATGCGCGTTTGATTAATAATTATAAAATCGATAGGGATACAGCACAGATTTTCGATTTTCAATGATTAATTCGAATCGATAGATAGACATGAAATTTGAAGTACATTGCAATAATGCAAAAATAAATAAAAATAGGAAAACTATAGAGGTTAAATAGTCGGTGGCGGTTCGTTGTGTGACTATTAGTTTTCATTTAGATACATTGGAAGAAATTAACATTAACGATAAGTGTTAATCGAGCGAGCTTAAGATGTGAAAATTTGTACCGAATACTAATGTGTAATATATTTTACACAAAACACACGCACACACATACATACATACACACACAGCATTCAAAGTTTGTTTCTGCTTGTAAAATTATTAGTCCAATAATGGGATTAACTATATTCGTTGCGCCTGGCAGCAGCGCTCCGTTTGTACTCGTAATAATTCAAACTTTGATAATGAGGAACCGGTATCACTTTGATCAATCGAGCACCTGTCACAATCCTTATTGTAGCGAGGCGAGTGGATAGAGGGAAGATATGTTTTCGTACGGTCCGGAAAAAGACTAATCTGTCCTAAAGTAATCCGCGATGGATCATAAAGGTGGATAACGAAGGCGATGCGCGTCGCCGCGCCGATAGCGGTGATTGTAAGGTAGTTGTGTGACACGAGTTCCGTGACGATGCTGCCTATCCTCATCTCAGTTGGTGTCTTCCAACGGCAAGACGTCATCTGACGTTGAGTTCTGACGACAGCGGTATACGTATGCGCTCGCAGACAGGTCGTCACCAGAGCGCACACATTTGTAGGTTTCATCCGCGCATTCACAACTACGCAAATAAAATGAGAACCTTTTTTTTGTCATCTATCCAATGTGTTAAAACTTAAAATACACACTCCTGATCATTATTGTGGAATTTTACACATGTAATTCCTTTGTATATTGAAAGGGATCTGTCTATTGCGAATATTTGCATATTTTTCTTACATTTTTTAAGATTTTAGAACATATTTTGGAACATATATACAAATTTGATAATTCTTTTTGTTAGTATTTGGATAAAAATTATCATTTAACAAAAAAAAAGTGATTAATTTCTTTAATTAAATTTTTTATGCTATGTATATTATGCTAAAGAGTTCGTACGTACAAATTTTTGATAAAAATAATGTCCACTTACGCGTTTTTCATGAAATATTCGACGTTGCGCGTATGCTTATGATAGACCGCCCATCCGCAAGGCCCATTATAACAATTTCGCACATTTTCCTCATTGTCCTCCAATGATCGTGAAATTCTTATATTTTTTATATCCTGCAGTGCCATGCGCTGTAGTTGCTCACTAAATTGCTGTAATTAAATGTACATTTTTGTAATTGAACATACTTGTGTTTTGTTCAATTTTTTAAAATTTGTTTACCATGCAAATGCTATTCGCGTGTTCCTTTTTTCAGTAATTGTCATTTTGGCATACGTAAAACATTGATCTTTTTCTAAATGTGTTAAATCCTTAAAATGTTTTAAATACAATTTATTGAAAGTTACTGTTTTTTTTTTGTATAATTGTAAACAAGAAAAACAAAACAATGTTGTTCTTCTTAGGCGGATTTAACATGCTGTGATCTTTTTATTAAATTTATTACAGATTTCTTGTGTTTCTTTCGATGAACTTTCTATTTTCTCGTTATTTTAATGCACTTCTTTAAAGATGATACAGAAACATTTTTATATAAATGTGTTTTCACGAATTTCAAAGATATCTTTAGAAAAGATTAAAAAATAAATAAAATAGGTTTTTTATCCGATAATATTATTTACATTTATATTTGGTTGTCGAGCACTTCTACAACAGCAATCTTATCTATATATAAATTTATACGTGACAATCACATGCAATAAAGTAAATAACGCCATACATGAATGAAAAGTGACCGATACTGCAATTTATTGAGTTGCAAGCTCGATAGCCTTTCGTGTCAAGTGCGATACTGCTTTGTGTCATGCCACCTAAAATTTTTCCTCATTATTTCGATTCACCCTAATAAATACGACGTAGAAATATTTTTCCGTAGAATTATTTGAATTTTATTGTGTTTTATTATGTTGAATTAAATTGTGTTGTATATGTGAAAACATATTTAAGCTAAATATCTCTTTATACAATGCGATTCAATCACGTTGCAAATAGCAGAGCAACAATTTAACAAATAATCTTTTTATGTGATTTTTAAATTTGTAAAAGGAAACTAATATATAGTAATTAATAACTAGTATAAGAAATGATTTTTATTATTTTTTTAATGATTTATTATCTTTACGGCTACGATCGACAATGATTATGGAGTCAACTATTTAACTGAAAATTAAATGGCAAACAACAAGCAGTTTTGCATAATAATAGAAGGATATCGTAGTTTGATACTCTGAAGCTATAACTCTCGGAGACTCGATTTATGAATGAAACTACTCGTAGATTGCTAGCACATTGCAGTGTTTTGATACAGAACAACCTTTGAACAACCAGACAATCTCGTATTTTTTAATCAACGCGTCATTATCTAGTAAAGATACGTGCGTAATATGTTACTACACATAAAAAATTGATTCTACTAAAATTTAAAAAAATATTTTTATTAAATATAAAATAATTTGACGGGGAAATTAAATCACCATTTATATTTGTATTTGAAATATTTAATAATTTTCAACGAACCTCAATTTTGACGAACAAACGTAACACAATTATCTGTGATAAGTCGTAGAAATTTTAAATTGATTTCTCTTGCTCAATGCACGAGTGTTTTTTATATTTTCTATTTCACAAAATATGCATCAGCATTATTTACGCAATAAGCGCGAGATCTTAAAAAAGGAAAAAGAAATGTAACAGTGTATATTTGTTATTTCGCGTGATACACACATGCGCACATGATACTATGCTACGATTTATGCATCGTCTTATATCTCGAATATAATGATATAATGAATTGAGCGTTATATGCGCGAATTGTCGATAAGGAAACTTTGCAATATACATTACAGAAAAAAAGCGATTCGTTATTATTTTCTTTGTTCCACAGAACACGCAAACCGTGACCACAAAGCGACTTCCGTTCTGACTGTGGATCACATCTGTGACACGAATTATTTTTCTTTCTCCTTTCTTTCTAAATTTTTTTTTTATTCATCTCTGAGTTGATTTATTTGATTTTCAGCATTATTTTTTTTTTTTTTAATTTTTTACTCGATTACATTCATACAGTGGTATCTTACCTCAGAAGGAATCGCTGCCGCCTCAATGAAAATCGGGTAGCACAGTGTAACCATGAGCATTCCAATGACAATTATTTTCATGTAGTAGCACATTTCTGTGCGTGGGCGCGGACTCGACATTTTTATTTGTATATAGGCACGAGATTCGTGTAAACTAGTTTCAGGCAATCTTCCTTCCTTCTCGTTCTTATTTCCGCGGGTGCGTTGGTTTTCCTATGATGCAGCAAGTCCTCGATTCTCGCACAGGCAGCAGGTAGAATTACAAACGTTGGCGCGACTGCGTGCGTTAGACACTACGAACAGCGCGGTGCGAAACGAGCGCTTCGCGTTCAAGAACACTGGCAAGTTCGGGGGGTTGCCCGCAAGGGTAAGAACGCAATAAAGCGTTCGACGATAACTTGAAAAGGCAAAAGACGAGATATCGAAGGGGACTTCGATTGCTTCTTTTTTTTTCTTTACTCGAGATGTATTAAAATATAAGCGTGTGACGCGCACGTACGCTCTCTTTCAGTGACCGAGTTATACCGTGTATTATTCCGTGTGCCTTGGAACTTTGCACATAGACTGTCTTCTCGTATAGAGTGAAGACGCTTTCGCGTCGTCGGGGGTTTATATAGGCTAGCTACTGCCACAGAGTATCGCTCGCAGAGGGTAGAGGGGAGAAAGATTTAGGCAGAGGGACAAGGAAAAAGAAAAAGAGAGATCGAGAAACCGAGAGGGAGGGCGCGAGACCGAGACCAATACCGGGAAGAGAGGGAATCTACGCTTAGACGATATAATAATAATAACGAACGTAATAAAGAATAACTCTAACTGCGCGATCTTCCGTCACCAGCATCAGTAGTAGCATTTAACGAGATCGATAGATCTCGTGAGTGTTCGCGCGTGGAGCACGTGCCTCTCAATGGTCAGGAAAACAAGGTGTTTTCTCGTTGCAGTCTCATTTGATTTCTTTCTTTCGTTTTTCTTTCGCGATCTGGAATATATGAGAGGAAGTCGAACGTATCTTTATCTGGTTCATGTATGATTATTAAATTTTCCATATTTTAAGTTATATCTCCAACATTTACAATGTCTTAATTATAAAAATAATGTTTTGTCAATTTTTTCAGTATTTTTAACTTTAAAAAATTGTTTTGCGTCTTTAAAATAGTATATGAGAGGTTAGGGGAAGAGGGGGAGTTAGAGTTGGGGGAATGTGTATATGTATTTGTGTGTGTTAATCCAAACAGCACGCAGTCCTAAAACATCTAAAAGACGTCTTTTGATGTTTAAAAGGAGTCTTTAAGGTGCTGTTTGAAAATGAATCTTATTATCATTTATTACCAAAAATCTACGTAGTACGTAAAAATTCATTCATTACCAAAAATCTACGTAGATACGAAAGTAACTCTTATACGAAGCATATAGTTTATTTTTCTTATGCTAAGAGCTGTCACATTGTTTCATTAAATGTATTCTTTTTAATTTGAAGCGTATAAAATTGATTTTGATATCAACAGACTTATCATTTATGTTGCCCAACAGAAAGAGATTAACATGTTTTTTATATATGTACTAATTATCACATCTTTAATTTTTGTTTGATAAACGTATCATTGCACAGTAAATAGTGACATATATCATACAATCGGATAAAAATTTTAGAAACGCATTAGTCTGTTGGAGAAAACAAGAGAGGGGAGAGAGAGATAGAGCGTGGTGTGTAAGCATTTGCGTAGCATTATCGAAACTACACAGAAGCGTTTCCTTCGGTTATCTGATGTAATATTGCTTGGGGAACCATCAGAGCATGTGATTTCATGTAACGGAATCTTTCAAGCTGCGTTAATGTATTGATGCTTAGATAAATGAATAAATTGACATAAAATTTACATTTACATAAGCAAATTATTTGCGAATATGTTATATTTATGACAAATGATTCTATTCAAACAAATTTATGTAAAATAAATAAAATAGTGTTTAGTCTATTGGAATATTTAATAATAGATTTTTTAATATTTGGTATAACTTTTTTAATAAAAATTTGACAAAAGACATATTCTATATGACGTGTTCATAACATTTCATTTTTTAATGTTAAATCTCAACTTGCAACAAAATCTTAATGAGCGATTAAAAATCAAGTTAAAATTGATTTTAGATTAATTCTACTTAGTTAACTGAAAAATAAGATTTTGTTATTGTTCACTGATATTCGCGATCTTTTAATTTCTGTCAAATAGTCGAAAAATATTTACACTTTGACATTGACAAACATTTATCGTTCGTATTCTATTGTTATTAAGGTATTTTCCAGTATTAATGATCCCCAGCTTTATGAAGCACAAACAAATATCTTATCGTTGACAGTTTTTCTTATTCTTTTAATTCATTCAATCGACGTAGTGCGTATTCGTCATAGGTCACGCTCTCGGACGTGCTTTTAAATTGGAATCTCAATCGAGACATCGCGCGTTGCGCTACTCGAAGTATCGACTTGGTACGGCACGATTGCTGTTTGAAAAAGGCCCCGCTTTTATCCACGGAATGTTTTAGTCAGTCGACTTGATAACTTGTTATGTGTGAGTCAGAGAATGTAGAGAGGCTCGACGGAGGCATGTCAGCCTCTCGGCCAATCACAGGACCTCACACTACTTACGCTACAATCGTGTCACACACGACATATTACGACACAATATACTACGACGGAATCTCTGCTCCGCGGCATGTGTGTATAAATTTATAGCTTGATCGTGATGTTTCCACATTTTCATACGTACTATAATATTGCTATTAGTTGGAATGGAAGTCTGTGCATGTGGTCAATAAATTTAATTAACATTCACTATGCTTGAAAAGTACAATTTATTTGTCACACAAAACAAAAATCCGCACAACAGATCGACACCTGTGCGATTACAAAAGATAAAAATAAAACTGTGGATTAACAAAGAAAAAAATCACGTACGATCGCAATTCGTAACGAATTTATCTATCACTCTTGTATTCGCGTGTCTCACTTTCTCTCTTTCTATTCGCGTGTGCTCGCTCCGATATCGATGACGTGAGTGGAGTTCCGCGCTTTTCATCTTAGATCGCTTAATCTATCGATCTATGTATATAAACACCTGTCGGTAATACGCACCGCAAAGTACTACCGCACATACAACTTGTGAAATTAACTTATTCTTTTATTTCTAACAATTAAAAATGTAGTAAATAATATAGCTTTATAGTACTTTGTACAATGAAATAAAATGCAATCTAACGAAGTGCTTTGAAACGTACTTTGATTATAGAATTTAAACATTATTTGACAAATAATTATTGGATAAAATTTTCTTGGCACCACTAATGTCTTATCTTTTATCATTAACTGGGCGTTAGTCTAATAAAAATTTTTTCTGTCGTCTTGAATTTTACAAATAACGAAAAATTTTAGTCGGAAAATACAGCATGTATCTTAATCCAGATAGTATAAAAGGTTCTGAAAACATCCTCAAGTCCTGAGACAATTCTTAGAAATCGGAATATCGCTATCTATATCAGGACGTACCTGTCAGACTGATACCTATCATTGAAAAATAACAGGTCGTCTAATAGATATCTAATAAACATTTTTTCAATGTGTATTTCTCACTGGATATCAATAAAAGTTTCGAAATAATTGTTAAACAATAGTTTTTAAAATGTCACGGTTGTGATCTCGTAAGCTTCACAGATTAATACAGTAATATATCTGCAATGATGCACTCTATATTCTTTACTTCTATTGAGCGATGTACATTTTACACGTTTGATAATTATGATTATTGCTTTTTCGCGCTTAGGTAAAGATAAATATATCTAATATGATTGGAGCTATGTTGCCCATCGTAGAACTTTTCGATACAAGCTCTTGTCCTATCAAAGATTTCATGAGATACATAAACTAGGAATGACGCAATATTTTCTTTTCTTGGAAGACACCGGAGTAGAAACAGAGGGGAGATAATATAAGGAATCATTCCTTCATCACATGACATTTTTATGGTCGGTTACAGAAAAGAAGGGATCGAAAGGAAAGGCAGCAGAGAGGCTGACATGAAAAGAAACACGTGGCCACACTGTGCCATCGGGTATTGCGTCATTCCGGAACTGTAAACTACGCAGTTTGTCAAGCGAGATAGCCCTTCTCTCCCCTCTTTTCCCTTTTTAAAATAAATTTACTTCTATAACTGATCAAACACTATGGAGAGGGGAATGTTATCCTAAAAAACGCGTGTTTATCTCTCGTAAAATGATGCAACGTAGTATAATTGTCACGTATGCCACAATGTCACGTAGTATAATTACATAGCGTTTTTTTAAAAATGAAAATTTTTTAATAGAATTTCCAGGAGTTTGCCTACAAAAACCTGTATAAATGAACTTAAGGACTAAAAAATTATTTATGATTCTGATGATAGATTTTTCTTTGGAAAAATTTTTATGACGATTACCTTCCATATTTTTATTTAAGCTTTGACATAATTTATCTAGACATGACATCTATTTTGACGTAAAACATTGACGGCATCAAAACTGTTTAATAACAAAATATTACTTTATTGAAATCCCAGACAGCACAAAAGGTCCTGGATATCCTGAGAATATCAGGATGTTCTTAGACAATCCTCAGGACATCAGGATATCTCTAAGATGCCCCAAGACGTTTTGTACTGTCCATATTATTTATAGCATTTTGAAATTATAAGTTTCAGAATAATAATTTAAATCGTATAATCACTATCCAGGACTAAATTACATGCAGTTCTTGTGTCGATATTTATCATTGATACTATACAATGATACTTGAATAAATACAACACATACTTTGCCGTTTTATAATACTATACTTTATCTAGTCTCGTCTCGTCTCGACGATTCGACTTTGTGGGAATGTAGAACGCTGTGAATGCGTAGTTATGTTATAGCGCTATAATATAATTTAGAGTCGCCATATAGATGTTCTGATTCACAATCTTTTCATACACATAACGTAGCTATGTATATTTCTAAAAAAATTAAACCAGACATCGGCATATATAAATTTCTTGGAATTTTAATCACATTTGAATTAGGCATAATTGTAGAGGGGTTACGAGATTCTTGCCTCATTTGTGTTCATAAGAAATTGTATTATTCTAGGAAGATATTCACACTCATTCAATGATCGATTGCTATATAATATCAAGTCCAGGCCGATATTCTCCTTATATTTGTCAATATGTGACGTTTAAAGCGCGATATTTTATCTCGATACAATGTTTGCACAAATTTTTGCGCGTGATTGTTGCAAAAAATATCTCTCTATACGAAAACTCGTCTCATCCCCTTCTTTTTCTCACTTTCACTCTCTCTTTGCGTGTTTTCACCTATTCAAAATGAAATATCTGGACTCTTAGATTTAATATTTTGGAATTGTAACGTCTACTTGTATTTATTACAAGCAATCTGTTGTTAAAATCAAAGTTAATATTTTCGATATTGCATTTGGCGTATAAATATTTTGAAATATTTGATTTTTGGAGAGGTTCCATTTTTGTCAAATATATCCTATCCTATTTTTCACAGTCGCACAAG